CTGTGACCACAACGGACAGAGTCGCACATGTGACCAAGAGTTTCCTGCGGACAGCGGCAAAAGCCAGAAATTGGAGCGGCCATTGAATATGATAGAAATAGAAATAGAAATAGGTATAGGAATACGTACGTGCAAAAATTTCAACGCTTGATTAAATTTCAGTCACAGTCGAGAAGGTTGCTGCGCCACAAGTGTGGGCCAACTTGAAAGACAATCAGGCAGCAATTTAAAACCATTTTCACTGTGGCCCGGACATCCCGCCAGCCCGTCATCGAACCCCGTAAAAGTCGAATGCCACCTGCTGGCTGTGTGGGGCAGTTGCAGTAACTTCTGCTTGATTAGTTTTGATTTGGTTATTTGGCATTAGGCCATATGCCCAGCCTTTTTAACATCCTCTTTGGGCTTCCTTCGATTTCTCCTGATTTTTTTCTTCGCTTGTCTCTTCTCTGGCAGAGGAATAAACTAATTCCCAGCCATTCGATGGAGCAGCTGTCTCTGCTGTCTTTGTGGCTCCTGAAAAGGGGCTCGGGTTGAATTGAGATTAACCGGCACATGTGCTCGAGTTTTAATATAAACTCGATCAGTGTGTGCGCCTTTTGTCATGTGTGTCTCAAGTTTTTGGTAAGTCAATCTATTTCGGTTGCACAAGAAATTAAGGGTCTATCTAGGGATGTCAGAAAATATTGTACATATCGTGTATATATAAATCTTTATGCCATAATCGATATTTGGTTTAATATAACGGAGCAATATGTGCCTCAAGTTAAATTATTTCACACATTTATATATAATATCAATTAAAAAGACTACAAATTATATACATTTTAATATTACATTTCGATAATTTTGACATTTTTAAATTAAATGTGAAACTAAATCCATGTTTTCGATCATTTCCATATTTCAATTTGAAAATTTGTTTGTATATCGATTATTTATAATTATTTATACATTTTGTGTTACCTATTTATAGACGTAAATTGGTCTGATATTTCAAACTGAATATTGACGTATCGCACATATTTTTTTGTGTATTTTAAAAAGTACAATTTCGATATATTTTTCGGTGTTTGCACCAAATATTGATAATTGTTATTCAAGTTAGGATCTTAAAATATAATTACATTTGTGATATAGATAATTCTACTTTAGTCCTGGTATTAACAACAAAATAAAATCTTCCAATTCTATATTTCAAGACTTCGTGTAAATGCTAAAATATTTTCGATATTTTCAATAAATCACATCAAACCAATCCTCTTTAGAAAACCGCATAACGTAGAGCAAATACAAGAAACACATATTTTTAAAGGAATCTTATAAATTTTATTAAAATAATATGCTTACCTATACTTTAAAATGTATTTCTTCCCACATTTTTGAAAATAGTCCTTTTAGAGTCCTCGTTTCCTGTAAATCCCATAAAGTACCCCAGCAGTCTTTTGTGGCTCCCCTCTGAGCACATACCAATATACCATAAATAAACACGAGCTTAAATTACTTCCATCTACATACGTGTTTATCAATCCGTGTATCCGTTTCAGGGCTACGACACCGGCACACATGGCGCATACTTAATATCGGTTAGTGGCACGTTCAATGCCGAAAAGCAAAGACCCAAATTGCACCGCCCGCGTACTCGGTGTGGTCAACAAATCATTAACCCGCCACCCCCACTGGAAAGTCAAATAGAAGTTAAACCCAACAGCGATTAAGACATTTAAGTACACTGAAACTGGGGTGAGCTGAGTTCGCTTCTAGCACCTCTATAATTTGACGAAATGGATTTGGGGGGAATGAGTCGCGGAAATAATAGGGCCATGGGACTCGGGAATAGGAGGGGGCCTAGAAAAGGGACTGCGATCGTTTGTCGCGCGTGCTGAAGTTTGCAGAATGCGGCTGGCACTACACTTCCGCTAAATGTCGCTATTATTTAACAATTTCGTTTATGTATGCCTTTCATGCGGCCGGCGGCAGCCCCATCGCTATGCGGAGTATAATTTATGGTGACTCTGATTCCCCCCAGGGCCAGCGGGCAAACTAAATTGTCGCCCTCACCAGCGGCAACTGGAAAAATATGAAAGAAAACAATTACAGCTGACTTAACACTTCCGTTACTTGTTAGAAAAGCCGCACACGTTCACCGGCCCACCTGGTCCGGTGCCTGGCCACCAGGACGCCCCGTCCAGCAGACACAGGTAGCTGCGTGGGCGACAGCAACGCACTTTCCTTCAAGCACTTGAAATTGTAATTTAACACGTACAAGAAGTGCGCTTGTGTACAATTTTTTTGAGGGGTTACTGCGGTATTGGGGGTTCCTTGGGGTTTCGGCCGGCTGGCCGTGGTGGTTCCAGCATGACAAGCTTTAACAATTTGGGGAGGGCTAACAACTATATGTAATACAGGTACAGGTAGTATATTAGGCAACAGACTCGAAATTAATTTAAAATTTTGAAATCTTCTTAATTTGTGACATAATTATCAACCGCAAGGAGGTATGTATTACAATTTTTAAGGGGGTTGTACCCATGAGACGAGATGAGGCACAAGTAACTTCCATAACTTATATGATATATGTATTTTAAAGGATTTTTCGATATTCGATGTCGTTACAAAAGTTACATCACTGAGAACGAATTCCCTTCAGAGCAGCGTGCTCCTGTTATTATTATTCTGTTGCCTTTTTCTCGAAACCACGTTTTTCCAAATAGTCAACACGATTTTTCGAAAACGGTTTAACCAACTGTGGTAAAATTTATAAAATATGGATAGATCACGTAGTTTTTTAACAAATAGCAAAATAGGCAATACAAGAAATTTAAATTTTTCGAAAATAATTTAGGCCTCAAATTTTTACTTTTGGATATTTTCAAAATATCCTAGTTTAAACGATGTCCGCATTCATGCAGATTATAAAGAATTTTTTGAAATCCGCCCACCCAGTTCACCAGAATCTTGTTGACTATGACACTACCTTTCTTTTAGTGTAGCAAATTGTGTGAAATTTGACAATATTTACCCTTTAAAAAAATTGAAAAAAAACATTATACTTTACTTAATCTGGTAAAAATATTAAGTTTTAAGTGCTCTTCACGAAATTTTTTCAAAAAACTTTGAAAAAACGTTAGTTACATGGGTCAACCCCTAAATTGGTTTAATTTATGAATTATTTATAATTTGAAAATTATACTTTTGTATTTATAATACATTACTTTACCTAACCTTACCCTAACAAAACGTTTATTTTTTTTTAATAAATTATTAGATTTGTAAATAAAAAAGTTTAATGAATTTAAAAACTTACCCTCTTGAGAGTTTGCTTGTTGTAAACACTGAAACGCGATACATGTAATATCCGTTTTACCCTTATTGCCATTGTTACAGATTTATTTTGTATTTCATTAACATTTTATTCGATTCCTTGTTTATGTAAATTATATTTTGACATTTAGTTACAAAGACTAAATTCAAAGAAAACACAAAAAATTGGTATCCAAAAATAGTGATTTGTAAAGCACCTTAAACGAAATCCTTTGATCGTACATAATTTGCATTTGTGTACTTAAAACTAAAAGTTTGCATTGCATCCGAATGATGACCTATGTCAGTAAAATGTGTATAAAAATTGTGTATCGATACATTTGATCTCAATAACGATAACCATTTGAGTTGTTTATTCATCATACAGAGGCACTAAAGCTTATTGATTCAATGATTCTTCTGGCTAGGAAGAACCGCATTCGATTCGTGCTTAAGTACTTAAATACTAAACGTAAAATCAAGTGAGTGAAATAAATAGTAATGTTAGACCTGTTTTGGTATAGAATTTCAGTGAGATACTATGTCTGTGAAGCATCATTTCCATCAGAGCCTTTGGACATGGACGTATAAATTCACAAAAATAAATAAGTAAATGTTTCATAAATAGGCGGGGTTGGAGTATGTTTCGAGTTGTGGTGTAAGTGAGACTTAGACGATAAATACTCGTGAGTCTTTGAGTAATTCGCAAGATTCGATTCGTAGAAATGCACAAAGTTTTTGGCTGTCTGGGGAAGCGGCGAGACTCAAATAATATTCCATAACTAAGGTTGGAGCGAAGACAGAATATGCAAGATTTGTAGTAAACAAATTAATTAGAAAAACGTTGTCATGCACGTTAATTTTAAACTAATTTAGAATTGGATCGGATATTATAGGTATACATAGTTATAGTGATTTCATAAGATATTTGTTTCCTAGTTGGTTTGACCATATAATAGTAAGATGAGTAACGACTAACGATTTTATTGGGCTTCAATTGGTTGTAAAGCTGGCTTGAACTTTATTTTTCGATTTTTACGTAAGCATACCTAAATGTATGGGCGTTACTCATCTTATTATTATATTGTCATTGGTTTTACAATAGATTTTCGCCTGGGGTTCTACCTACTTGACTTCAACAAGCTAACTACCGAACAGACCTTTAGAGATTCCGGCTATAAGGGCAAGTTTTTCAAGCTCCAATTGAAGATTAAGTAATTAAATTATTGTCAAATTTATAAAGTTTCAAGTGAAATTATTATAGTTGCATTGTCAAAATGCAAGCCTTACAGACATTAATTTTTGTATATATCTGTGCGAATTTTATTATTTTTAAATTTATTTTGAAAAACCTAGACACATATCCCCCTCTAAATGGCGGTTTTCATAAAATTATTCATTAAATATGATATGAAAGGGTACTAAAAATTGACCATGTCATGCTACTTCTCTTGTTCTTACATATTCGCATTAGATTTCAGAAAGAAAAAGAATTTGAAACCTACTAATAAATCGATTCGATCAGGGGACTATAACCGGATCAAAAAAAAAAGCATGCATACTGCATTATAAACGAATTTGTGCACACATTGCATATGGTTTGTGCTTCGAAGCGTTGTCGGCTTTGGCCTTAGATATATATATTCCATATTTGATGATACTCTATAACACTATAAAGTAAACCTGAAGCTCTAGGTCTAGGCAAAGCTTGGACGTAACTGGGTAACTGCGGCTCAGGAGATTCAATTATTTCTACTTGGCAGCTCCTGGAGGGGCATTGGCCAGGCCAAAGAGCTCTTCATAGGATGGCGCTGAGAGAAGATCAGAGAGGTAAATAAAATCATCTTTTGAATTCATTGTAACTTACGCAGCTCATGGGCTCCAGGCGGCTGACGGGCTTGCAAAAATGAAGACGACGCCGAGGTGGATGGCAGCTGGCTGTAGCCCGGCGCCACTCCACCTCCAGCCCCCGCCGATGGTGCGGCTGGAGGTCCGTTCGGTGGTGGTGTCAACGCGAGAAGGGAGTACTGTGGCGATTCTGGCAGCGGATATGCAGGCAGGTGGGGCGGCGGATACGACTGCACCATCAGCGGGCTGGACGAGTAGGGCATGTAGGGCACATTGGAGCTGTGCAAACTGGCCCTGGCCGAGGGACTGCCGAACTGTGAGGACTGCGAGCCCGAGGTGTAGGACAACTCCACGCCCCCGGCACCGACGCCACCGCCCACAGCGGGGCTTAGAGTGGCCGCCGAGGAATCCGACGTAATGGAGTTAATGGAGCTGCACTCGCTGAACTGCGACGAGTGCGATGGCGAGCCAATGGAAGAGTCCAGCGAAGGATATACAGGCAGAGCAGGCTCGAACGGGTTGCCGGAGCATGCATCCGGACCGGGCGGCCCATCGTTTGGCCGAGGTGGCGGTGGCGGACGCAGAGATCCCTGTCGGTTGGAGGTGTCCTGAGAGTACACCTTAAATGGAAGATTTAGTACCAGATTCTTGAAGAAGCCCCGCAGCACCGCCTCCACACGCAGCTCGTAGACAATGGTGATGACCCCGCTCATCTGCTCGTCCGTGGGCTGAGCTCCCTCCGGCATAAGCAGCTCATGAGCGAAGCTACGCTCGCTCTTCTTCTGCACCGAACCCGTTTCCTTGGTGGCCACCGCTATGCACTCCACCTTCTGGACCCGCAGGGGCACATGGCTGTAATAGGTGACATACTGGAGCACACTAAACCGTAGCTTCTCTACGGCGGTGGTACTGTTGTTGATCACAGTGGCGCATATCCTCAGCGGCTCTCCCCGCACGGCGAAATCCTCTGGCAAAAGAGCCAGCAAAGTGATCGGTCGCGTGCCGAACAAGCTGATCGTCTTGGTCACCTGCTTCTCCAGCGGACTGGGAATGCTTCGGTGCGACGGCTGCAACGGCATATGCTTCACCACGGTGAAGGGTATGGTGTGCCGCTCGTCGAATGTCCACGGTCGCTGGATGAGCACGCGCATCTTGTACTTGATCCCGCCATAGCTGCCCTTGAAGCTCGAGGGGAGCTGACGACCCAAGGCCACCTCAAAGATGAAGGTATGCTCCCCGGGCGACAGTTCCAAGCCACGCGGCTCGAAGTCCGGCAGCGCTGTCTCACTGTGCTCGTACACCTCCTTGCTCGTGTAGAAGAGGCTGCGGGAGTACTCGTTGTTGTTTGAGTTTTTGCGCAGGATCTCCATCCACTTGCATTTTCCCTTGCCGGTCACCTGCACTTTGATAGCTGCAAAGACGGATGGTACCAAAAAAAAATTTGTAATTTAACAATATAGTTTTTGTAAAATTTTAAAATATCTCTATCCACCCTTCGATGGACGCCTAACAGGATCGATAAAATATACAAATAAGGATAAAAGATATCGATGCAAATCTATATGAATCTCAAGTTATATAAGAAAGTAATACATTTTTTTGTTTAATTTGATTAATTATGTATGTATTCTTTTAGTTTTTACTGTGCATATTAGGCTGTCCAATAAAATAGGTGTAGCAAAACTAACCTGTTTTTAACTAACATACTAATTTAATTCTAAAAAGTAAGGTATTAGAAAAATATAACTAAATAAGATCTTTATATTTGTTCAAATAATAGAAATAGAATAAGAGCATGCGAATTCGACTGCCTCGAGATGACGGGAAATATAAATAAATGTAACGGTCTCAAAAAGTTTTTACAAATGTGGTTAGCTTAAAAAACCTTAGTGAAATTAAAAGAGCACCTGGAAAGTCTTCATTTAAGTTAATTCATTCATAAAAGTCCTACAAAATAAAGCCGGATATTACGGAAATAAACTGGCATTACTCCATTTAAGCGGGGCCTAGGCTAATACTGGTGAAATATCGACCAAATGTATACAATATTCTTCGTCCACCCAAAATAAAAGCGTTTTAAGAAGTATTTAAATTATTTTTTAAATAAAAGATATTAAAAGAACCTTGATTTCTTGGGGTTAATAAAGACCTAAAATAAAAATGAAAGGTTAAAAAGGAAAATCATTTCACACCCGTTATTTTGTCCACATGCGGAGCATGCAATCGTTTTAGAATTTAAATCAACATTTAAAATTAGCAGGGCTGCCATACTGTCGGAAATTACCCATATGGCAGCCCAACGGTCACGTCACTTACGTAGTTTGGTTACGTATTGAATTTAAGAGTGACCAGCTGCCGTGAATGCGAAATTCTCTCTTTTTTGCCAAAGACTATTTTTGTTGTCTCCTTCGGTCACACTTCCCCAATAAAGGTTTTTTAGTTGCCAAAAACTAAAAAAATTGTTGGAAATCAACGAAAATTAAAGAACCCTACACCGGTTTGGAACAATAGGAAGTGCTTTCGTTATATCACATTTGTCGTGTTCAACGGTCGCGTTTCGGCATATCGATTTAGCAGAAACCGGCGTCGGAATTTTCTCGCCGAATTTTTTGCCCTTGTCGCCAATTTGCGCTTTAAGGAGGACGCCCATTGAGGCAATTTTCAATGGTGTAGAGAGGAGGAGCACGTGGAGTTGCCGAGATGAATTTCGAGTACATCGGCCATGCGCTCGGCTACCACGGACAGCCGCTGCAAAAGATCTGGGATGACGAGCGGGGCGTGGAAGACCTGCGAATGATGGGACTAACCCAGGTGAACTACAGCGTCTACCAGGAGCGCCAGAAGTACTTCACCTTCCAGGAGCGGGCCAAGCGCCTGAAGATGCACCAGTTTCTGGCGCGCAAGGCTACCGATCTGTACGATCGCCTGTTGGTGGCCAACGTTATGGAGGATTCGTTGCTGACGCAAGGTGGGGGCGTAGGAGGGCGTTTCCAAGTTATTAACCAAATAATAACATTTTATCAACAATTCCCTTTTAGCCAACAACAGTCTGGTACAGCAGCCACCCTTTGAGTTTTTCTACGCGGCGAAGGACAAAAGAAAGGCGTGGGCGCATCGCCTGCGTGCCTTGAAGCAGGGTGGAATCATCTATACCATGGTGATGAAGCTGGCCCCCGGCAACAGACTGGTGGTGAAGCCACTGTGCGCTGCTGACCCTGTGCGGGCTTACCTAGCCGATATACCCATCAAGGTAAATGGTCCTAATTTATGTTATATAAACCTCATTAAGGTTTTAATTAGCCCGCCGTTTTTGCTGCAAACCCAAGTTAATAATTGTAATTAAATATAATTTTTGATATCGAACCCATGCTCTTTTGTAGGCCATCATAATGCAGGACTACTGGGGTCCGTTGCCCCTGGACAAGCAAGGTAACCAGCGAAGCTTCGCCGTGAATGATATACTCCGATGCGAGATCTGCGGCATATCCGCGGATACGGAACGACTCAGTCTGAACATGATTGGCATGTACAACAAGTCGCTTGATTTGAAGTTGGGTCTTTGCGACATTTCCGATCTGCCCAAGTACTACCGGTAATAATAGCGCAGTCACATGCAGCGGCTAAATTAAAAAACCCCTCCTAACCCAAAAATACTCTTATGCTACAGAAATATTCACAACCGGGAGCATCCATCGACGGTGCACTACGAAGATGAACTCACCGCTGCGCTGCAGTTCCAGAATCCAAACTACGATTTGCTTTTTCAGCTCAACGGCCTTCAGCCCAATGAGAACTTGTCTCTGATGAACCATTTAAAGGCCGGCTTCCCGGGAGCGGAAAACGCGGCGGAACTTCGGCAGAAGCAGGCCTCCCAATGGGCCTTCCGGTAAGTTGAATCTTCACACTTGAGATTGTGGCCAGTAGAGACCGTGTATACCATTCCATCATTTGCACACCCTTTCGCACGCGAATCCTCCATTGATTGGCCGGTGCTCAGCTCCGTGGCTGATGGCATTGAGCACTTTAAAAATGGCCAGCAAGTCGAGGCCTTTCAGTGCCTCAACAAGGCTCTGAACATTGATCCGCGAAATGTTGAGGGCCTGGTGGCCCGCGGTGCTCTCTACGCGAACCGCGGCAGCTTCCTCAAGGGACTGCAGGACTTCGAGAAGGCTCTGAATTTGAACAAGTATCACGTGAATGCACGCAAGTATATGGGCGAGACGCTGGTGGCTCTGGGTCGCAGCTACGAGGAAGAGAACCGCATTCCCGAAGCTGTCAAGGCCTATAGCGACTGCCTGAACCTGTTACCGCAACACGAAGAGGCGCGCCAATCCTTGGACGCCCTGCAGCGGCCGCCACCAGCTGTGGTCCCCAGTGGAGAGGGTAAGCATAGACTAAGCGCCGAGGTGATTAACCTGACAGGCGGCCCATCCTCCGATGAGTCCAGCTCCTCGAGTGCCAGTGAAAGTGATAGCGAGGATCAGGGTGAGTAAATGTCGGATCAGTGCTGGAGAGTTGGATCACATTGTCTGCACTGATCCAGCAGTTCCGTTCGCTTTCAGTTTATTTCTTAAGCCGCTAACCTATTCTTCATTTTAGCTGGAAAGGTCAAGCCCAACATAAGTCAACCATTCTATGCCCAAGGTGCAATTCGGCCTCCGGGGGAGGAGAAGTTGGCAGTCATAGACGCCCAGAAGGCCAACGAGTTCCGGCTGGACGAGGATGAGACAATGTCCAGTGTGAGGAAGCTGCTGCGCGAGGCCAGTAAGCACAAGAAGGCCAAAAAAAAGGGAAAGAAGAAAAAGGATAAAAAGGAGAAAAGGTCCAGGACACAATCTGTGGCGGAGGATCCCATGGAGATGTTAAAGAAACTTGACTTTCAAGAGGCCTACAGGTGAGTTTTTGCAGCAAAAGATGCACATGGCACAAGAATTAAAACATTTTGCAATCTCTTTCCCAACCGACATTTTGATAGACAAGACAAGTATGTACCAGGATGTACTTAGCTACTCCCTATCTTTATTTACACCTCACATGAAATGGAGATGCTCTTACCAAGAGGGTTTGAAGGGCTTATTTCATTTGTGGCGTAAATATGGATGAACCTCTTACGATGTGGATTTACTACTTCTGCTTTGTTTTGCTTTTAGGCTAATGAACAGCGCCGCCAGCGAGGCCGAACTCAAAGCCAAGATCAAGAGCTATCTAAACCAACGGGATAGCGGAGGTGACTCACCGCCACCTGCTCCACCACCAATGAAAAAGTTATCAACTCAGGATAGGGGTCCCCACTTCGACACGATAGGACCCAGCACTTCACGACATGCGGCTGCCGCCTCCGCAAGCGGCAAAGCAGCGCCAGCGTTGAAATATCAGGATCAAAAGAAGCCCCCGGAGCCGGCTCCCAAACTCTCCTTCCAGATCAAAAAGCGACCGCTGCAAATGGACAAATTTGGACTACTGCGACTGGCAACGCCAGCGGAACCATTAAAGGGCGGAAACAGCAGTTCACGCAGCCGGAGCCGCTCACGAAGTCGCTCGCGGCCTCGTCGCCGCGAAAGAAGTGTGCGGCGCAGAAGCCATCGCCGTGGCTCGCGATCTGTCTCCAGATCGCGCTCGAGGACCAGATCGCGATCGCGCAGGCGTCGCAGCTTTTCGCGTTCGCTCAGCCGCTCCCACTCGCCCCGGTACGGCAATCGCTTTGGAAGAGGTTCCGGTCGCTTTATCAACCGCCGCAATCGCCGCTCCCGTTCGAGATCCTTCCAGCGCAGGCGAACACCACCTCACCGTCGGACACCGTCGCCATTTGTGCCCCGTCGCACACCCTCGCCAGGCTCTCGTTATCGACGCACTCGCTCTAGGAGTCGCTCGCGATCTCGATCCCGCAGTTACAGCCCCCGTCGCTTCCCACCACGTCACACGTCGCGTGGTAGGGGACGTGGAGGCGGCTGGACTCGCAACAAGTACTCTTGGTATAATCACGACAGACGTAGTTCTTCCAGGACCATGGAGTCAAACGGCAAGGAGGATGAAATAAGAACGGAGAAAAACGCAGGTGAAAAGAGCACTCGAAAACAGGACGCAGATGGTGGGCCCACTATCGAGCAAGTAGACGAGATGATCAAGGATCATCAGAAGGAGCGCAAGCAGGGTATTATAGAGGCCTCCAAAGAGGTAAAAGAGTAGGCTCTTAAGCGCACACATGAACTACGAGTGTTAAGTTTCCCTTTAAATCATATAATTTACGTTTGATTTTCAAATTCAAATTTGTGTAATGCACCACATAAGAAATGTAATGCTAACTCCTCAATAAAGAAGCTTTCGAAGCGAGACTTCGGCATGACTTGCCTACATCAGAATCTAGTCACTTGTGTATATTTTCTATTACTTTTTAGGAGTGTCAAATTGAATTTTCGTTATTTGCTTGCTGTTTCTGTCCTTGTGAAGAAAACCTTTCAAGTTTACTAAATGGGTAAGTTAATGAAAACCAAAAACTATTCAAAGATTCTCAAATTAAAGAAAAAACTATAATATCCTGCAAGGGTATAAAAATAAAATTTTCCAATTTTTTTCAAATTAATCTAAAGTGGCGATCAATTGTAGATTTATGTTTGTCACTATTGACTGAAAGATCTAAATTTATTAAAAATATATTTATTGTATTACTTTTGTTTTCTCAATAATCTTCATTAATTTTTACTATATATAAAAGGAATAATAATTTTATATTTTGCATTATTTTTGTTTAAAAAAGCCAAAGTATCGCCTTAGGTATTATGTTTATGTTTAATTTGGATATCAATATTCAATTTTAAAATCTAAATTAATTAAATTTATAATTTGGTAGGGTGGGGTATGGTGTGGTGAATACATATAAAATAAAATTGTGTTACATTTAGAAATTTGTTAGTTAAAAAAACAAAAACTTTAGCTAAGAAATTAAACATATCTAAAAGCTGGAAGTTTAGTTTCAATCGAATAACTTTGCAATTGTTGACATTAAACATTGGAATATATAAAAGTTAGTATGCAAGACTTAGTACATAACTCAAAATTACAATAATTTTATTTTTCAGATATCCCGCTAATGTTGCATAGAAAAAATATTTAAAATCGAAGTCCAAACTGCATTCATTCATACGCAACAAACGCCCTGAGAGAGTGGGAGAGACAGTGAGCACCCAAGAGCGGAGAGACCTGTATGTGAGAGTGTGATAGAGAGCAGGTCTCTTCCCCCATCCCCAATAACGACACTGCAGTTGGGGGCTGAAGAGCGAGATAGCCAAGCAACCGGCTGTCAGACTCGCAAGAGAGAGTGAGAGGGAGAAGGAAGCCTGGAAGCTAAACAACCCAGAGCAGGCAAACACACGCCGATAAAATGCTTGTTTCATTCGAAATTCGCCAGCCGGTAGTAGTGGAGCCACAAACAGCGAAAGCAGCAGCTGCGGGGGAAGTGGCGCGGGCACGGAATTAGAATATTAACGTCGACGACCAGTTATCGCACAATTAGTACGCGGGCGAGAATTGATACCGCGATACGGTGGACAAGAACAAGTCTGGCAAACACCCGAAATTTCCCCATAGCCAAGTGCCGTGTAAGTGTGAATGCGATTTGACGAACTGCTAATTTACATAACAAAACAAGCATTAAAAAGTGCATTGGCCAAGTGAAATGTAATAGTTCACGTGCAGAATAAACGGGAATAGACGCACACGCGCGACATTGAACCTGTAGTCATATTCCATAATTTTCCGTGTGGACTTTGGACGATAAGCGCGACAACAACAACAATCTGGTCATAAGGAGACAAAGAACATAAAAACCGAAAAGCCACGCTTGCTTCTGTTTTCGTTTTCGTTGTTGTTGTTCTCGCTCTCGGGCGGGTGCGGTACACTTGTTGCCATGGGGCTTATGGGCACATACAAGTGATTTACGGTGGCTCGCAACTAACGCGAATAAGTGAGACAAGTTGAACAAGTGTTTTACCGTTTTAACTTTTATTACAGATACCGATAGTATGTGAGCAGATATATTCTATGGAATTGTTTCTGCTTTCTAATCAGGTCATAAACAAACAGTTATCAATATTTTTAACCTTTTGTTACCTGTTTAAAGAAAAAAGAAGTAATCAACATTTTGAACAATACTTTAATTTTAGTGTAAATTTACTTTCAAAAGTAACCATGCTGCCCTTTCTATGTTTTTCGAGCGAAACACAGTAAAACTGAAGGTTACGATTGTGTACAAACATTTGTGAAGTTCTCGATTATCTTATCTAAGCCCCTAAAGATTGTCGACAATGGTCAACAACAGCTATTGGCCCTATTTTTGGTGTTACCGACATTGTATCAGTTATTAACCTCTGCGTAACTTTGGCATTTTGTAACCCCCTGTTCTACCCCGTTTGTATTTTGCAGCTCAAGTAGAAGAAATAGAGCTTAAATATGTATACGAAAATCTTCCGAACTGTGATAATCGGAGCCCCCGGCTCAGGAAAGGGAACTATTTCGGAGCTGATTGTCAAGACCTTTGGCTTCCTGCACATCTCTACGGGCGACATCCTGCGCCAGAACATCCTTAAAAACACGGATCTGGGCAAACGCGCTCAGCAGTACATTGCCGCTGGCCAGCTGGTACCAGATGATATCGTGACTAAAACGATGCTGGGACGAATCACAGAGGTGGGCAACAAGTCATACATCCTGGATGGATTCCCGCGCAACACCGCCCAGGCTGAGGCTCTGGCTGCTCGCGAGCAGATCGATGCCGTGATCACGCTAAACGTGCCGCACGATGTGATCATCGACCGGGTGAAGGACCGCTGGATTCACGCTCCCTCAGGAAGGGTATACAACATAGGCTTCCACGACCCCAAGGTGCCAGGAAAGGACGATGTTACGGGCGAGCCACTGACCCAACGAGAAGATGACAAAGCAGAAGTGGTAGCTAAGCGTCTTCAGCTCTACGATGAACTGATGAGCCCAGTGCTAGCCTGGTACGAGCAGCACGGTCTCGTCACCACCTTTTCGGGGCGCAAGACCAAGGAGATCTGGCCTCGTGTGGAGCGCTTCCTCAGGGACAAAGTTAACAAGTAAATGGTAGTGACTGCCTGGAATTTCACCCTTTGTGCACAAAATAATGATCAATTGCTGTGTTCAATTAAGTGCAAAACATATTTAGATATACTAACTTGTACGTATGTAATATGTATGTTGGGCGGTTGGGAGGTCGAGGAGAGGGTGCGTATAATTAATGTAATTGCGAAGCCATAAGACGGCACAGCTGTCGTCATGTATTCCTTGTTTTCACAAAGCATTCCCCTCATCGAATAACTGTTCTGCGCTCCCCTTTTTGTATAAACACATTTTTGTACTCGTAGTCTGTGCTCTGATAATAAATCGCGTTTATTGTGCGCTGATAACGTAACGGCCGACTTTGACTTTGGGGCAGTTTGCGGACCGGCTAGGCATCTATTTTTAGTCCGCACTTGGCTGGATGCGTGAAGTGGAGCTGGCATGAAGGCTTCACATGATGCACTGAAATACCCTTCACTCCATGGCGTAGCGCACAAGAACCCGAAAGATGCGGGCTAGTGTGGCGCTCTCTCCCCATTTACTCTCGCGCTCTCTTGGAAACACACACCCGAACAGCTGCTCACGCACACCTGTACACTGAGAAATCACAACAGAGAGGCGCTTGGAATACAGTGAATGTCAAACAATTGGAATAGGTGGGTTATGTTAGGTTAACCTGGACCGGACCGCCTTCCGGGGTAGTTGTCCGGATGTTTGTGTTTGAAATACTCCAAAATGTTCATCTTCAGTAGGCCTGTGACAATTTCCGTACCAACTAGTTTTCAGTTTCGGTTGAATGACATCCCTGCGAGCCCCCGCTCAAGAAATGCTCGCCTCTTTCGTGGCCATGACTGTGCTGGTAACGCTCTCTCACCTCTCTCAGACCCGACTTTTGACTTAGGCCAATATTACGGCATTTTCGGCAGCGGGCAGCGGGGGAGTAGAACAGGCAGAGGCAGCTCTCCCCCCTTTCTCTGACTCGCTCGCACCAGTGAAGTGCGTTTGGCATTTCCTGAAACAAATGCCAGCCCTCGAGAAAGAGAGAAACGAACAATTACAATTGCTCGAGTGCGGCAATTGAATGCTTATCGATGAATGAAAGGCGAATGCAAAAGGCAATTGAAGGAATTTGCGAGAAAGAATCTCAGCATTCTGGTGGACGACGGTCCGTAAAATGGCCGCTCTTGCTGAACTAACAGAGCTCTTTGTTTATGCGAATGGGAACGCAACGAAAGTCCAGCTGGCCGTCATGCGAACAATGGACAAAATGCTGACCAAGCGGAGGCCTGAGTCACGGATGATGCAAGCCCGGGCTTCGGGGAAATCAAGTACCCAGATACTTCGTTTTAAACCAGAACTTACCGCGGATCTTCGTGCGCTTGTTTACGTTCATCCATATCTCGCCGCGGATTATGTCGCCGGCGAAGTAGACACGCTCGGGGCTGTCCAGGGTAATTCGCAACCGCTCGCTCTCCATTCTGCTCCTGCTTTTAACGCTAGTGGCGCTCGCATCAAACAATTATCCAAAAATAATTCCGTCATCAAAAATGCCGCAACATAGGAACGATGCACCACCCCTCTCCGCCCGCGATCCACCTTGGACTATATGCAATATAGTAGTACCATCACACGGACTCGGACACTAACACAAACGTAATCATACCACGGCAATTTACTACATACACAGCGCGGCGAGGAGTGGGAGCTTTTTGCTTTGGTTTTGCCACTTCCTCAGCTGGTTTATTTATTACTGCAACGGCCCTCGGCCTCCAATGATTTGTCTCACGCCTTGATTAATTTAATTCGATTGCTAGGACGCCGCGGTCGGGTTGAATAATTAAATTTCGTAGAAGTTTACGAGTTATGCTTTTGTTGTAGTTGGAGCTCGCGCTCTCCCACTTTTGCTCGCTTTCGATAACCATGAGAACGGTGGACCGATAGCATAATCAGCTGTTGCGCGGCGTTGCCACCTGGGAGAGGCTAAAAAGCGGTTATTTTAAAAGTTTAATCAAAGTAAAATCTTGAAACCTATTCATTTATATATCAAATATTGAACATTTTGGCTGTATTAAAATATTTAGGTGCAGTTCGTGGCGATCGTAACAGTCAGAACATATACGTACTTACGTTCGTATGTGGAACGATCCCTTATTTCTTTACGATTTTCAGTCTAAAAATTCTAAACCGCCTCTAATTTCATATTATTTACAAAATATTTCATACTTTTTTCGTTGATTTTTAATCTATAACAATTTCAGTGACACCACCCTTGGTATACAAACTCCATTTCTTGTTCCGTGTGCTTCCCCTGTTTGCCTACACTTCCTTCGCTCAAATACTCTCACGAACGCAAAAGCGGTATCCAAGTCCGCAGCTGGCTTTCGAGAATTCAGTATTAAGTCGAAGCTGCTCGCGTTCGGTGCTCGCGAGCTGGAGCCACCCGACGACCTACAGACCCCCGCCGCTCGAACCACCCATCCCCCATAAAACGAAGCGACCGGCACGGCCTGCCACTATCAATAAACAAACAAAGAAGAAAATATCCTTGAGATGAGCAGCAAAGTAACCTTCGCCTTTGACAACAACCCCCTGGGGGTGTACCAGTCGGGTCAGGTCATCTCTGGGACCGCGGAACTGGTTACGGAGCGTCCGAAAACCATTCGATGTAAGTGGCCATGCGGAAGACGCAGTATTCTAATGATTCCGTGACTATGACGTCATGGTTTCCCCTCCCTCTTGAATCAAAGTTCCCATCCACTTTCGATGCGTAGCTGCGTCGTCATTAATATTGTCGGTGTATTGTTGTGCCTGCTTTTGTTATAGTTGCCGGTAGATCTGTTTGTCTGTCAGATATGTACATATATACATATATATATATCTATAGGTATGCTTTATATACAACACACATGTGCCCGCTTGGCTGGCTTCGGATATTTGATAGCGTCTAAAAAACTAGTTTTATTTTAAAATTGCGGCCGCTGTTTATATTATTAGACATTTGATTCTGTTTACTGGTCAGTCACTCACATCTAGGGTTTCATTTTGAACGAACTGAAAGAAGGTAATTGTAGCTGACTTTGGTTTTTAGAAGTTGTAATAGTAATCAAATTTAATTTATGATTGATACAATAGTTTTACAATATTATAAAATGTTCTATACTCAGATTGAAAATTGGTTTATAGTTTGAAAGCCAGTTTGTTCTTTTCAATTGTATTAAACATTTGTATACCTTTCGGCCTATAGCTTTGGATATTTGTAAAACTAATTTCGAGGCACACGATCCTTTTCGCGTTTTATGTTCGCTTTACAACGACATGTACTCTCTTTTATATTTTGAAATGTCATTAGACTTTAACAAAAATAATATTTTAAGACACCTATCCTTGCTCTGACCACCTGATGTGAGTCGGAGCATATCATTAAAAAACACTCCTTATCCGGTCTGAGGTAAGGATATGGATTCAAAATGGCAGATATTTGCTATTCTTAATAAATAAATAAATAAATAAACAAATACATACATATATGTAGCATTATTAGGTGCTTTTGTTCGTTTTGTTTAACTCATATTTTATTCTCGGATTTATTGTTTGTGGATTAACGAATGCTTTTTGTGTCGCCAGCGAATCCATTTTCCAATACAATACCACTGAGAGCCGTACAAAAAGCCTAAGGTCAAATACAATTAAACTAAATGCATAATTGAATTACATACCCGCAGTACAGAGAAAAATTAACTCAATTGCAGCGATCTTTATAACCATAAACGGCTATGGGGAGACGCGCTGGCAGGAGAGCGAGGAGCGGGTGGGCGAGGACGGAAAGACCACCAAGACACTGGTGACCCATACCACCACGAAAGTCTATTACAGCACAGACCAGTACGTTTACGGCCAGAACGGTGGGTCCCAGCTGGAGCTGCCCACGGGAAAGTATGTATTCCCCTTCCGGGCCACCATCCCGCCTGATGCGCCCACCTCCTTCAATGGCGCCCACGGGCAGATCAAGCACGAGGTCACCCTGACCGTAGATCGTTCCGTCCGCTACAACAACACCTTCAAACAGTGCTTCTCTGTGATCCTGCCCCACGATCTGAACAAGCGCCATGAGTACACGGTAGATAAATAAATCCACTCAATTTGGACATATGTTAAATTAGCTTGCCTCTTAAACAGGAACCCTTGAAGCGCCTAGAGTCAAAAAGCTTTTGGTGGGGCTCGATCTTTGGAGCCAACAAGCCGATGGTCATGGACGTGAGTACCACTTATTCAGGCTACGTGCCTGGCCAGAAGATCCACTTCCATTTGGTGCTGGACAATCAGTCGGATGTGCAATGTATGGATGTTAAGGTACGCCTGCTTAAGAATGTCTCATATCGTGCCAACTCCTCCGGAGTCAAGGAGCAGCTCAAGGTCACCGAATCGAGGGTGGCGGACAAACATTGTGGAGAGGTGCTGAAGCACAACAAGGCTCAGTTCAATGAGTTTCTTGTGGTGCCACCGACCACGCCCACTACCCAAAGTGAAAAGGACCCCATCCGGGTTAGCTACACCCTCCGCTTTATTGCCAAGACCTTCAAGCTGCACGGTGGAGGAGATCTGGTGGTGGACTTTCCGCTAACCATTGGCACCGTACCGCTGTTGGGTAGCGCCGGCGATAAGGGACCCGGCCAGGCGGACAAGTCCCAGTCCAATGGGAGCTTCTACCCAGGTGAGAGTTATAACAAAGAAAGGTAAACCCTTTGTTAAACTTCTTGATTTCATCTGCAGGTTCCCCCATCTTCCAAGAAGACGTTAGTGACGAGCCATTTGAGTCCAATACATTTAAGCCTCGGTATCCCGTCTACCCATTTGACAATAAGCCTGGATCCGGTACTAATGGAGCCAACGGAGGAGCCAGTGCGCCTAGTTTGTATCCCAAGGCGGAGGACACACCACCTGCGCCACCTGTCCACTTTTCGCCGAATCCAGTGCCGCAGGCCGTACACAAATCTCCACCATATCCGACCAATCCACCTGCTGCTGCTGCTGCTTCTGCTCCAAGCGGCAATTTCGAGGTTCTTGGTTTTAGCATTCCACCAGACTATAAGCCCACTCCCAGTGCACCAGCTGGAGCTCCCACGGGCGGTATTGGCTGGAAATAGGATCCATCACACATCAAGCCGCAGTTTGAATAAAATTAAAAGCGCGCCTGAGGGGCATGTAAAAGCCGGAATATTTAAAAGATGAAAACTGAATTTATTAAAAGTCAGTCAAAATTTAATATATTTTTCAGCTTTAAAGATGAAAATATATTCAAATATTTTAGGCATACATGAGTTATGTGGATCCAGGGATTTCAATTTATTTCGAATATTATATTTTAGAATATTATTATTTTTAAATAAACTATAAAAGACATTTTGAGAATTATTATTAAAACTTGAGCATCATAATCATAGCCTCTTAAAATATGAATGATTACAACTCTGAATCGCTTTTACCAATTGGTTATATTTATTTTTGATCAGAATTCTAATCCCGTTTGTTTCTAAATCTAGACTTCGGAAAACTCGAAAGTAAAACTATTTTTTAAAAAGGGTACAAATTTAGGGAAAAACAAAAATAGGGGAGAGTGGGGATAGGTGAACCACGGGGATAGATGAACCACTACACTAAATTTGGAAAGCAAATAAACTTTACAAAACAAAAGATAGTACTTTTGCATAATACTTGATATTCCAAGGAATGTGGGCTCTTTTAGATTTCTATATACAGCAGACCCTTACGTCGAATTGTTCAGACATAATAATGTTAAAACACAATATAAGAAGTTTATTAAACGAAATTATATTCGAAATCTCAAGCGGAATCGACATTTTTGACGAAAGGTTGAGAAAGGGAGGCCTAGTTTTACAATTTTTAGGAGTTTTTCGCTTTCATTGCGGTTAAAATTAAAAAAAAAAAAAACATTTTCGTTTGTTATTATTATTTTTAACTTTAAACTTAATTGTATAAAATGTAGTTTCAGTATTTATTTAAAAAATCATACAGCTTTTTTATAGCTATTACCGATAGCCTCTGCCGATAATCGATAGCATTCATCGCTGCTTTGGAAAGCTCATCTCCAGCGGGTCGAACAGCTGGCCGCGTGCACTTGGCGACGTAATTTTGTTTGTTTTGTTGTTGTTGCTGTTGCTGCTGTGGAGCGATCACTGCCGGAAAACCAGTTTGTGGAAGTGGCCAACATAACTGCAACGGCATCTCACCGACTACTATTACAAGCCAAATACGCAGACACGGTTGGCGGAACAGAGACAGCGGATGCCTGGCGAAAAGAAAGTTTTGGCGCAATCCACGGCCTCTGCCTGTAATGAAGAAGCGTCGTCGCCGCAGTAACTGCTGCACTCTGCCCGCGAACGGACGCATTTGCTCCAGGTGAGTTCCCGCTCTACCACGCTCCCGCCGAAGGGCTGGATAGCTCCAATCATTATCTCAAGCATATGCCTCCGTGCTTGGTCGGCTTTGTCTCTTTTATCTGGCCAGCAGCATCGGAATTGGAATTGTAAGTGGAATTCGAACTGGAAGTGGACAACGGTCAGCAACGAACAACGGAGCATCGGACAACAAAAGCGGCCGTTGGCAGCGGGAAAAAGTGAAATCGCTGATAAACCCGAATACCCCCCAGACATTTTTTGTCAGTTAGTCGTCCCTCGTCCATCAATGAATGGCCCGGGTCTGAACCTGGAATCTATTTTGGGAGCTTGGCAAATTTGCGCGCACTTGGGCAAAGCAGAGATAATAGTGAAGTAATCGCGGCGACATCCCCACGCTCCGTCGAGCATGACACTCGTAAGTCCCATCTCCTCATTGCACTCTTTTGGCTCCACCAGAAGGTATACGCATTTTTCCAAATCAATTTGGCCATCAAGATGATGAATGCGTAAACAATTCGGAGTTTGCGCCCGGCCGCACCTCTAAAATGCTTTGAATGAAAGCTACAGTCAAGCCTCTAATGTAGGTATTTTTTGGACAGGGCCACCTAAAATGAGTATGAAATCATTTTGAACTAAAAGGTTTTCAAAATTTAAAATATTAATCAATGTTCCTTGCTTTTATAGTAGGTTTCACAAGTTTGTCTAAAAATTACATAGGAAAATCAACGTAAATGATGTATATTTTGATTATTAGACTGTCTTTACTTGGGTTTAGTTTACTAAATCAAATTTAAGCTTGTGATTTGCAAGAATTGCTTTAAATGTCCAATTGAGATGTGGCTGTGTATCTGTCTTACTTTCATTCAAGACATATCGAAGCTTTAAAAATGTAAAAAATTCCAGTTTTTAGTAGTTCGAATTATTGAATTTCGACTGTAATAACGTTGCCATCCCGGCCTGTTTGGTTTTCTTAATTTTTACAGAAATGCCATTGAAGAGTTGGCAGTCGCAGCAATAAAAGTGAAATCCGCACGAGCAAACATACGCACACCGAAAGCGAAACCAAAGCAGTTCCCACACAGACATGGCGGCAACCACTGGCTCTGGCAGCAACGCCACCGCTAGCACCAGCAGCAGCAGTACTACCGCTCCGGTTCCGCGACGCAAGCACAGCACCCGGGAGCAGCTGCACCAAATGCTGGCCGGCGGTCTATCGGCTGCCATCACACGCTCCACCTGCCAGCCGCTGGACGTGCTCAAGATCCGCTTTCAGTTGCAAGTGGAGCCGCTGGGAAAGGCAGCCGGCGCAGCGAGAGACCTGACCTCCAAGTACACATCAATCGGACAGGCGGTGAAGACAATCTACCGTGAGGAGGGACTGCTGGCCTTTTGGAAGGGCCACAATCCCGCCCAGGTGCTGAGCATCATGTACGGTATCTGCCAGTTCTGGACGTACGAGCAGTTGAGCCTGTTGGCTAAGCAGACGAAGTACCTGGCAGATCACACACATCTGTCCAACTTTTTGTGCGGCGCTGCGGCCGGTGGAGCGGCTGTGATCATTTCCACTCCCCTGGACGTGATCCGCACCCGACTAATCGCCCAGGACAAGAGTAAGGGCTACCGGAACGCGACGCGGGCTGTGTCGGCAATTGTGCGACAGGAGGGACCGCGGGGCATGTACCGCGGCCTGTCCTCCGCCCTGCTGCAGATCACGCCGCTGATGGGCACCAACTTTATGGCCTACCGCCTGTTCAGCGACTGGGCGTGCGCCTTCATGGAGGTGGGCGACCGCAGCCAGCTGCCCACATGGACTCTGCTGGGACTGGGCGCCTCCTCGGGCATGCTGTCCAAGACGATAGTGTACCCCTTCGATCTGATCAAGAAAAGGCTGCAGATACAGGGCTTCGAGTCGAACCGCCAGACCTTCGGGCAGACGCTCCAGTGTCGCGGAGTCTGGGATTGCATGCAGCTCACCGTGCGGCAGGAGGGCGTGAGGGGCTTGTACAAGGGCGTGGCCCCCACACTCCTCAAGTCAAGCATGACGACGGCCCTGTACTTCAGCATTTACGACAAGCTCAAGCAGGTGCGCTTCTAGGTCGCACTCGGACCCAGTGGGCTTGGGGCTTGGGGTGCTGCCAGACAGAATCTACACTGTATTTTCTATTTTTATATATATGTATTAATATATATATATGAATAATATTAAGGGCATAGGCTAACTGTTGATTAGTTTTCGGTTATGCAAACGGGGTTCTGTTTATCTTGGACCAATTGACTTGGCCAGCGCCTTACTGAAGCACAAACACACTTGGCGCACCAGTTAAGTTTATAAATATGTTTAGTTTGTAGAAAATGAGCCGAAAAAAGTAAAAAATTAAATCCATATTTTTATAGTTATTTACCTTCTGTTGGTTTCGCAGAACAAACTGATGGTTTTGTTGTTTAATTATTTTTATTAAATGTAAGCATTCAGGGACTTTAATAAAACTTGACTACATCACACATAGTTTGATTAGTTGCTATAAAATATTGCCTGTTTCTTATTTGAATTTAAATTACATTCATTCATGTTTGTTTTTACAGGTATTTAAAGATTCCAACGAATGCTGTTAAACGAAAAGGTAAACAATGTTAACGAAAGCTTTGCGACCTAAGCTTTTATTTTATGTTGTGAAATTGGCCGGTTAATAAAATGAGTTGCTATTGCGTATCAACTATGTAGTTCCCTGGCACAAATGGCTCTTGTAAATACCTACTTCATCGACAAGAACTCAGTTTCCTGGATGCTGTGGCGACCTCCACAAAAGGAGGATACTAAAGGCGAGCACTTAACGATTAACAAGCTGATCTGCGAAGCCCCACAAGTGTTGGCCTTTCATTTCCTGACTAAACACGGCCACGATCCGGTCGATTCAAATGCCTCATGGTTCAAGTTGCTCGATCAGCTTGCCCAGGAGTACGCCGGCCGAATTCTCTTCGGGCTGCGGGATATCTCTACCATCAAGGAGTTCAACGAGAACCTGAACGCCGAGGACTTTGGCAGCTACCGAAAAGGACTGCCTCCACGGATCTACGGCAAGGACTGCCAGGGCCGCGTCTACGAAATGCACAAGCTGGTCTGCCACAAGTACTTGAAGGAGTTCTGCGACCAGTTGCTGCGGGATCAGCTCTTCCAGGCCGTGCTCCTGGGCCCTTCTCCCAAGCAAGACTCCCCGCCGAGGAACTACTTTGAGCTGTGCGAGCAGAAGAGTGGCGACTTGCTGGTTGTGCTATACGATCCCGCTAGCTACTACTGGACCTTTCAACAGCGGAAGCTGCGAAAGCTAGTCTGCCTTCTGGCCGGCGAGGATCTGCCCATTGTGGTCGTGGACAAGGCCCATAATTACCTGGGCGTGGGCTTCGCTGCCAGTTGGCAGCAGCTGGTCAAATGTCACAGCTCCACCATCTTCTCTTCGCCGAGTCACGATGGCTGGGACATCAGACTGAATATACTGATGGAGAGCACACGCGATTACCTGCGCCACATCGCCGCTAACAGAAAGCCAGAGTTGAAGAACTATGATACCAAGTGCGAGCCAAGGGGACCAGAGGAGGCTCTGGAGTACCTTCGGTATTTGTATTAGGCTTAGTTGATAATGTTTGATGGTTTTTTATATTATTTTTAACGACTTTAACCGCCCAACTGTCGGCAGAAAAGCACGATGTCTAGTCATGTTTGTCCAAAAAATAATCAAAATCAAATAACGCACAAGCTGGGTTTAAAGATAAGAGTATGTATTTAGAATTTTTCTGGGTTGTTGGCGTCCCGCGGCTGGACGTGGATCATGACCTTGATGGCCCCTCCCGTGCCGAGGCGGGAGGTCTCGAACGCCTGGGCCGTCTCTGTGATGTCGAAGTGGTGCGTCACCAGACGCTTGACGTTCACCTTGCCGGAGGCCACCAAGGCCAAGGCTGCCGCATAGCTGGGAACACAAATTAATTAGCATTTGGGTCTCGAGTCCTCTTTAAACACTCACTCATTGCAGTAACGGAATACGCCTCGGATGTCAATCTCGCGGGCCAAAGCGTTGATCAGCGGCAGCTTCACCTCAGGAGCTCCCATGCCCACCACCACCACCACTCCTCCAGAGCGAGTGGCCTGGAAAAATACGAGTAAGCCGCTAGCTAGATCTCAATCTTCACGTCACTGGGGGTTTTTCTTACAAAGATGGCCAGTCGGGCGCTGCTCTCAGCTCCACAACAATCGATGGCCTTGTCCGGGACTCCGCTCATCGTCTGGTGCACTACCTTGACGGTCTCCTCGGCGGGCTGATCCCGCTGCAGAAGCAGCGTGTGCGTGGCACCCAGCTCCTTGGCTACGTCCAAACGCTGCTGCACCAGGTCGGTGATCAGAATCTCTGAAGCGCCCATGGACTGGGCGGCCTAGATGGGAAAACTCAAACTAATCAATCCCATCTGGCAGAATGTAGCGGTCTCTTACCAGCAGGGTGACCAGGCCAATGGGTCCGGCACCCAGGATGAGCACCTTGGAACCCAAGCCAACTCCAGCGCGACGGCAGGCGTGCACGCCCACTGAAAGTGGCTCCAACAGAGCACCCTCCTCCATGGAGACGTGGTCGGGGAGCTTGAAGCAGAAGTCCGCCGCGTGCTTATAGTACCTTGTCAGATTTCCATCATAAGGCGGAGTGGCGCAGAATACCATGCCGGCGCACAGGTTGTACTGGCCGCCCTTGCAGTGGTCGCAATAGCGGCAGGGCACTCCCGGCTCGATGGCCACGCGATCGCCCACGCTTAGGCTGGTCACCTTCTTGCCCAGCTTGGCCACCACACCGGCAGCCTCGTGGCCAATGATCATCGGCTTGGTTAGTACAAAATCGCCAATACGTCCGTGCTGCAAGTAGTGGACGTCAGAGCCGCAAATGCCGACACAGTCCATGGCCAACAGCACCTCTGGGGAGCGACAAAGAAGTTTATAATCTATAATCTTTCTATCCAAGGATTATTGCTTAAAAAAATTTGGTAAAAAAATATATCATGATTTTATTATTTTTTCCTGCTAAGTTTTTGTCAGCTTTGTTTATTGATTTTAAACATAAATCGAAATTTACGGCATTTCTGACTGGATTCCAGGTAATAAGCTTCTTTAATTGGGACCACATTTTCATATTTATGTTGTCTGTATACCTGAAGTATTATTATCAATAAGCTTCATTAAATAGATTATGATATATTCATTAAGCGTTATCTCTCCTACACTCTAAGCAACAAAAAATTATTTGACTTCCAGAAAATTGTCCAGCAATATCTTCAAATCTAGAAAATAGCTTTTATAGTATATTTTAAGTTGTAAAACCTAATTTTTTAAAGTGTTTGGACTTGGTATAAAAATATATAAGAAGAAAAAAATTAATAAATAATTCGAAAAAACACAACAATTTGTTAGTGTTTACTTAAGTTGTATTAATTTCTTATTTTTAGGGTTAATCCACAGAATTTGTAATAATAAAAAAGTTTATAATATTTTTTAAAGTAATATGATAAATGAATAAACTAAATTATTTTTTCTGTCAAAGCTCTGCAATTTATTTAATTAACGCAATTATATACAATTAATTTGAAAGCTCTAACAAAGCATTTATTGAAATGGAAAACTTTTACTTATCTGAAATATAAACCACTTAGTTTCTTGTTATACCCTTGCAGGGTATTATAATTTCAGTCAGAAGTTTGCAACGCAGTGAAGGAGACGTTTCCGACCCTATAAAGTATATATATTCTTGATCAGCATCAACAGCCGAGTCGATCTAGCCATGTCCGTCTGTCCGTCTGTCCGTCTGTCCGTTTCTACGCAAACTAGTCCCTCAGTTTTAAAGCTATCTCAATGAAACTTTGCATATAGTCTTCTATATACTCTCACTGCTATATATGTCGGAACGGGCCGGATCGGACGACTATATCATATAGATCCCATACAAATGATCGATAAATTTTTAGAAAAAAAATTATAACTTGGCTGTTTATCAACATTTTTGCACCATTTCTTAGATATGGCCGTTTTGTATTATTTCAGAATTTCGGTAAAAAATTCATGAAAATCGGACGACTATATCTTATAGCTGCCATAGGAACGATCGGGAAATTAATAGAAAAAACATTATAACTTCGTTGTTTTTCAACCTATTTTTATCTACTCTGAGATATAAGCTTATTTTATTAGTTCAGAATTTTGGTATAAATTTTATAAAAATCGGACAACTATATCATATAGCTGCCATACAAACCGATCGGTAGATGTAGAGAAAATGTAAAACTGGGAATGTAAAACTGTAACTGTCAAACTCTAAACAATAAGTATAGGTAAAATTTAATGAAATAATATCTGCAAGGGTATACAAACTTCGGCGTGCCGAAGTTAGCTTCCTTTCTTGTTTTTTAATATTATTTGTAGAAGTTTATTTACTTTATTTTAGTATAAGTAAAAGTAGTATCCTTAAAATTTATCTATCCAAAATTTAAAAACAATATCCAATAATTTAATAATTAAATTTTAATAATAATATTGAAAACATAAACCAGACATAAATAAATAAAATGTTAAGTGTTAAAATAATAACATAAAAATTGTTAGAATAAGAAATACTTCTATTACAAGCTTGTGTAGTTTTAAGAAAGATATGAAAATGTAAAGAATCTACCCGTTGTGAATACGCACTTATTTATAAGTTTTTTTTTTAACTTGTGGCGTTAGGAATACATTAACTAATAAATTAAACTAAATACACTAGCTTACCATCGTCGGCGATTTCCGGAATCGGACGTTGCTCCTGCAGGAAGTGTGTTAATGGTTGTCAAAGAGTTTCCTAATTTATTTCCGGCCCTGCTAGACTCACCAGACGCAGGTCCTCGATGCCGTGGAGAACAGCTGTAAGGTTGTCCGTTGCCATGTTTACCGGTGTTGAATTTGTATGCTCTCCTTGCAATATCGCACGTCCGTTCGCTTTGAAAGCCGATTTGGAACTGAGTTCAGTATCCGAACAGTTTGATTGCTGCGCTGGCAAGTGGGTAATTATAGTGGTGTCCGTATGTATATATTTTAATTTTGCTTATACGGGATCTATGCGGGTGTATTTGATCAACCGCAGTACAGTTATAATCGGTTAACCGAGACTCCTGAATAGTGCCAAAATTAGGAGCACGTAATAATTCATTTTACAGAAAATTGTAACCTTTGAGCTGTGTTTTGGTTGCCTAATTATAGTAGTTAACTAGAGTTCCTTACCGTTCTTTATATTCGCTCTCTTCTGTAATTTGTTGCTGTTCTCTGTTATTAGTAAAAGACACTCCGAAACAGCTGGTTTTTATTTACTGCTAGATGCTTGTTTACAAATAGATTTGTAGTGGGCGTTCATGCCGGCAAAAAAGCTCTGCCTCTCGCTCTCTGAAAGTTTGCCTCTCTTTCTGCTTACATACACTGGAAAGTTTCGGGAAATAATTAAAGAAAAAAAAAAACGCCTTAAATATATGGGTCTAATTCGAGTTTCGAGGAAATTCCAGCTTATAATTGTTAATATTTTAAAAATAAATTATTAATAAAATTATGATTCAATGTTAGGGCTATCTGTACTTTAAAGAGGGTTAACAATAAAATTTCAATACTAAAATTAATTTAAATTCCCTTACGCTACCTTATCAGAATTTGTAATTGAATTTTATTTCAGTGTACACATTTGTCCATATCCGTTACGTTATCGCTTGATTTACGAGTTTGGAGCCGCTTGTGGTTAATTGAGAAATATAAACAAATATTTATGCAAATAAAGAAGCAAGTAACAGGTCGCCTTTTGAGAACGCAATCGAAATAACAGGTTTGTTTGTGTTTGCTATATAGTTTTATTGGCTTTATTTCTCCGGCTAATATATTCATTTCAATAAGAGTTTGATATTCGGGTTCTTAATTTTCTTAACATATAGAATTTCTATTTTAAAAACGTTTGCTTATATAGGTAAGTATGTGTGTATATAGATGTGTGGCTTTTCTGCTGTTTTTGCTTTATTATTGACGTATAAATAAAAAATGTTTGCTTAAAACTAAGAAAAAGTTTCCATCACGACATCTGCGCATTTACGTTGGCTGCTCTTTTGGTTTAGTTCACTCTGAATATAAATGCAAAATCTGTAAATGCGATTCGAGTTCGATATTTACGCTTCTTATTTATTAAATTTGGCTTTAAGATCGAAAGGAAAGCAAAGTTTCAAGTGGCAGGCTAGTGCCCAACTACAACAGTTAACTGTGTTTATATTGTATGTATAAACCTTGCAAACGGGCCGAAATAATAATATAGGTTTATATAAATCAAATCAAAGATAGTAATTTCAAAATCATTAGACGAATTACTGAATAAATTTTTAAGTGATTTGCAGAATTGGTTTGGCTGGATTTATATCTGATTATTAAGGGGATTTCAGACACAAAATGTAATGACAGATTTCGGTAGAATCTGCTACTTTTGAGCAATTTCTGACATGACATTTGCAAGGTTCTTAAAGATTCGGTTAGCCGAGGTTTGTCTTCTCTATTTAGGCGCTGTGCGAGTGTTAGATTTCTCTTAACTTAGATGCTAGACTCTCTAGGGTTTGGATTATGTTGTGGCTTCGATATATATATATATAGTATATTTCCGTTCTCTAAAGCTGCAATTGCAGACATACGATTATGTCAATGTAAAAGGAACAAATTTGGCCAAAGGAAACTTATTGTGTCGATCTTACTCCTGCCAGCACTGCACTTGACTGCAAATGCAATTACGTTTTTATATCACACTTATGGTCGAAAATCCGGGCCCGCAAATGAAACAGAGACCAAACACATCCTACATGGACAGCTCCTGGCGCGGCTTGTTGATGTGCAACCGCTGGGGGTCCTGTGGCGCCACACAGATGTCAGTGAGGATGACCACCTCGTAGGGACTGCAGTCGGGCATGTGCAGGAAGCCGCACAGCCAGCCGTAGAAGCCCTTCTCGATGTCCGTAATGTCGTTCACCCAGCTGCTGTACTGAAGGCTCAGCTGGCGCACCCCCGAGTAGATGCCCAGCCCGAAGGTGCACAGCACGATGGCCAACGGATAGGCCACGAACAGGAGCGGCGTCACCAGGATCTTGTGGAGGTAGGTCCTCTCCTCGCAGTAGTAGTTAAACATGTTGTACCAGGTGAGCGTGCCAATGTAAAAGGAGTACACCGCCGAGATGACCGTCACGAAGGGGAGGCACAGCAGCGAAATGAGCAGGATGTGGAGTCCGGTGCCGCAGCTACAGGTGCACCACAAGCTGCCGCCCTTCTGTGCGTCGCTGGCCATCGCGTGGGCATTCAGTTGCTCCAGCTCCTCTCGGCTTATGTTGATCTGCAGATCCACGGACTGGCCCTTCTTGCGGCCTCGCTTAATGGTGCCCGTCATGGTCAGGTAGTTGCCGCCGCCCTCCTTTCGCGCCTGATAGCCACGCTCCAGGCTCTGGTCGTAGGTGTTCAGCACACTCGTTTCCCCTGACTCCAGGTCCTCGTAGTTGGCGATCTCCGGCGAGGAGCGCTGATTGCGCGCCTGCCCAGGGAGATCCGAAGTTCGGATGTTCACCCGCTTCTTGGAGGAGGAGCGGTTGCTCAGGCAGTCTTGTGACTTGCTCAACTTGGCGTCCAGGCTGCTCTCCGAGTAGCAGCAGCTGCTCGGAGTCACGGTGCTGCTCTCGTGCCTCTGCGATGTGGACTTGGTGCCCTGCGAGATGGATTCAAAGTTTTGGAGCTCGTTAAGATTACCGGCCGACCGGGCAGACTTCTGGCTGTGCTGTGTGGAGCTGGCCGAGTGGGTGCTGGCCAAGGTGTCCTGGGCGCTGGGAACGCCCAATTCCCCCGGAAGCTGCGGCAGCGGCTGTTTGTTTTTGATAATGAGCTTTGACTTGCGGAGCTCCTCCTCGAGCCCCGGGTTCGAGGGCGACAGCTTGGGTCGGTTTTGCTGCGCAATAATAAGTGGCGGGGTGAAAGCTGTTTATATGTTTTCCATAACCAATTTACCAACCTGCACACTGACAATATGGTCCACATAGTTCTGCTTCTTGGCCTCCGATTTCGTTTGTTGACGTTTCCGGGGCGGAATGAAAACAGGGCGTTCCTTGCTGCCCGTGTTCGGGTCCACGCCCAGGCCGCTGGATCCTTTGCCCACCATTTTAGGCTTTTTATTTCTTCAAAGCGCTTTTGTTTAGAAGCCTACATAACTTTCTAGTTGAATTTCACGTTTTTACTGCTTCCCCGGAGTTACTTAACGCGCAGTAATGCAAAAAAAGTGCATTTCCGGCCTCTGTCGCTTCGCGGCTGTGTTGTTATTGATTTTTCCTGGCTTGTGTTGGCACGTCCTTGTGCCGATTTTGCGTTCATTGGCGCTTTTTGTTGCATTTTGGGTTGGGCGGGCAATGTTTACAAGAAATTTGGCGCCTGCGCTTTGGTCATGTTTAACTTTTAAAATGCAGTAAGTGTGGTCACAACAACAGCTGATGTGCAAATTTAAGTACGTTTTTAGAACATAATTTAGTTTTTACGTTTTTTTTAAATATTGTCTTATCATCATTGATTTAGGTGTAGTTTATACTTTGCGAATTGCATTGGCTTTGAAGAATAACAGTAATTCCAGTAGAACCAGCTGAGTTTGTCGAAGCGAAGTTGGTTGGGCTGCTAGTTTGACTAAATATGTAAAAATAACCTAAATTACATGTGTAAACGTCAATTTGGAACTTAAACTATACATGCCCACTTAAGTTATTTAAGTTTGGTATGAAATTAATTAAAGTGATGATGTATGCAAATAATACAAGGGATTTAACAGTAGAGTGAGTAAAGCAAATATCCCCTACCTTAATTAGCGGAGGTCAAATATATTTATGGCTCCTACTTTATTAAATAAAAACGTCCCATGTTTATCAAATAAATTTGCTTAAATTGTCTGTAGACCCATGTTTTATACCATTACAGGGAATTATAATTTTAGTTACCAGCTTGCAACGACGGAGTCCTTTTCGATCCTTTAAACCAGGCAATGCACATTGGGATGAAATGCCTTTATTTTGGCCAAAACCTAAAAAATTCGTGTTAATCAGGCCTGCTCCGGTAATCGTAAAATTTTTTCGATTTCGTTTTGGGCGAAAACGAACCGTTTTCGTTTTTAGCTGCTCCGGTTTTCGGCAAATTTCTGCTATCGGATGTTTCGTTTTCTGATCGTTTCTCACTGCTCAAGCAGCTAACTTGTGTTGTTGGTAATAAGCAAACAACCTAAAGTACTGCCTATTATACTTACAATTGCCCTTTTTCTAAGCCAGAAAAAGGCAAAAAATGGTAGATTTAAGCAAATCTAGGCACCTAAGATGCTGCCACACTTTTCACAGTTTTAATTCCGGTGGTCTCAAATAATTATTTGGTTAATTTGGACCATGTAAGTAATCACATTAAATAGTATTAATTATAAACAACCATTTTGGCGGTCCTTTAAAGTTATTAATGTATTCATTTATATTTTATAAGTATTTTTAACTGGCTGTTTCGTTCCACCAACAATATGGCAACCTTGGCGATAACTTTTTGCGGTGAACTTATCGACCTATCGCCAAAACGAGAAAACTGGTTGAACATGGCAAAAATTTTGTTGTCAAATCTGAGGAGGGGTCAGAAATAAATTTTTTATAAAATAACTACCTGCCAGAATGATCTTATGGTGTTGTGGAATAAACATCAATAGACCACTGAGTAAACTATTTTTTTCCTTTTGTAAATAAGGTCTGATTTCATATAGAAAAAGCCATTTACTTTTCATTCCGGCCAGAAAAAGGTGCCCGTTTTTCAAATCGAAAAAATCTTTCGATTTCGATTACCGGAGCACCAATTTCTCGTTTTCAAAAACGAAAACGAAAAAATCTTGCCGTTTTCGATTACCGGAGCAGGCCTGAATATATCAATATTGTTACAATTATTTTAAGCTAAGAAATGTCCCTAGACATCAAAAATATTTAATTGGTATTTTATTGTCCAGCCGTTGTCTTCCACCAGCCCTTGAAAGTCAACTGTTCTTGCCACGTAGTGCGTGCAAGTTTGCTGATTAGACAAGTTTCTTAACTTTGACGTTCTCGTATTCTTAAACAGTTTGACCAATTAAAATACCTTAAAATGGAAAATGTTTCTCATGGTATGTAGAAAATATCTGTAACAGTGTTTAATTATGTGTGCTTTTGTTTTGTCATGCTTTTAATGAAATACGTAAACACTAGTTTTGTTGATTCTAACCTTAAAATATTTGTGTTTCGTGGAGCATATCTAGCAAGATACAACAGGATTCAAATAACAGCTTATGTGGTAGTATGTGTTATTATGTGTATATTCAGATAGCATTTAAATAATTTGCGGGAACTTGCGGGGGGGTTTGATATTTCAACAGATGCGAGCAAGGTTGGAATTCGTCGAGGTGACTTACAGGAAGTTTGCCTGGATAATAATCGCAATGTCATCGCTACTTTTTGATTTGCATGCGAGGAAAAATAGCCGAGTGAACAATTTAACTGACGTATTTCATCGAGCTTTGGATTCTTCTGATCCTTACTTATCAAGCATCGCTCAAAAAAAGAGTTCAAAATCACACTTATTGCCAAGTGAAGTTATTGCACTTTTAGCTTCTCCAAATCCAGAAGATGCAGCCCAAGTATATAATATTAAAGACGACCTTACAAGTATACCATATTTAGATTTTGATTTAGAAGAAGAACGTTTATATTAATACAAGTTTATGTACTTATTTTTAAGTTTTCGTTTATAAAATTATGTTATAATATGCAAAAATATAAAAATAATAAAATTTTCTAACAATTATGGATAAAAAAATGAAAAAAAAAATATAACAACATTAATATGAATTTTATATGAATATACTGCAGTTCTATTATGTGGGTGGCAGGGAAGGAAAGGTGGCAGTGTAAAAAAAAAAAACCGAAATTCACAAATAATATAAGCAGCAAATTCTCCAAGTTTCAGCTTTCTAGCTTTAAAATTACGGTTGTGGCCAAAATAAAGGCATTTCATCCCAATGTGCAATGGCACAAGATATAACAGACAGAGCAGTCAAGAAAACAAAAAAAAAAAAAATTATAAAATTATGCAGCGTAAAATTACAAAAAATGTCCGTTATGCTGACATATCGGGTACAAAATTTGTACTACAAACTCGTTGAGCCGAGGTATAACATGAACAAAAATGCAAAATAACGATTTTTCAAAGGCTTTTTTTTAATAGTCCGAAAGGTCAATTCCCCTGAAACCCAGTAAAAATCGTTAGTAAATTTATTTTTTAGCATTTATTAAGTTTATTTTGTTCGAATTAGTGCCTTCGTTACGAAATGAATTAAAAATATAAAAAATAAATTTCGAATCTAATTTGACGCCCATAGTTTTGCAAGTTTCTGTCGTTTTCAAACCAAATTGAAAAGTATCTAAGCTTTTTGGCGTTCCTTAGCTATCGCTGTCTGGTCACACTGCAGCCCGGCTCTTTCCCGCCTCCTCTTTGTTATCGCCAGTTGTTCTCTTTATTTGCCACTTGATCTTGTCGTTGTCACGAAACTTTTCCATTAGAATTCCACTGCAAGATGTCGGCTACAGAAGGCAAGGTAAGTCCACTCGGAGGAATACTAATTAGAAGAAGCACTCGAGCAAACACAACCCCCGATTGCAGGTAATCACGTGCAAGGCTGCGGTGGCCTGGGAGGCCAAGAAGCCGCTGGTGATCGAGGACATCGAGGTGGCGCCGCCCAAGGCGCATGAGGTGAGTTAATTGCTCTACTCCGGGTTTTGGGTTACGATTCGGTGGTTTATATTTCCAATTTCCCACAGGTGCGCATCAAGATTACGGCCACGGGCGTCTGCCACACGGATGCCTTCACCTTGAGCGGTGCCGATCCCGAGGGCCTGTTTCCAGTTGTCCTGGGTCATGAGGGCGCCGGCATTGTGGAAAGCGTTGGCGAGGGTGTGACCAAGTTCAAGGCCGGCGACCACGTCATCGCCCTGTACATTCCGCAGTGCGACGAGTGCAAATTCTGCAAGAGCGGCAAGACGAATCTCTGCCAGAAGATCCGACTGACCCAGGGCGCGGGTGTCATGCCCGAGGGCACTTCCCGTCTCTCCTGCAAGGGCCAGCAGCTTTTCCACTTCATGGGAACCTCTACTTTCGCCGAGTACACGGTGGTAGCGGACATTTCGCTGACCAAGGTCAACGAGAAGGCGCCGCTGGAGAAGGTGTGCCTGCTGGGTTGCGGTATCTCCACGGGCTATGGAGCCGCCCTGAACACAGCCAAGGTTGGTTTGATTAGGATACTCCTGTTGTGGCAACTTACTTTTAAATTTATCTTTATATTTTTTACAAAATTGTGTGGACAATTTATAATTTAATTACGGAATTCTCAGAGCTGTTCTAGAAATTAATTAATTATTTTTTTAAGGTCACACCTGGCAGTAACTGCGCTGTTTGGGGCCTGGGAGCCGTTGGTCTGGCCGTTGGCTTGGGCTGCAAGAAAGCCGGCGCAGGAAAAGTCTACGGCATCGACATAAACCCCGACAAGTTCGAGTTGGCCAAGAAATTCGGCTTCACCGACTTTGTTAACCCCAAGGATGTGGCCGACAAGGGAGCCATCCAGAATTACCTGATTGACCTGACCGACGGCGGATTCGATTACACCTTTGAGTGCATTGGCAATGTGAACACCATGCGCGCAGCCTTGGAGGCCACCCACAAGGGCTGGGGCACCTCCGTGGTAATCGGTGTGGCCGGCGCTGGCCAAGAGATCTCCACACGACCCTTCCAGCTGGTCGTTGGTCGTGTGTGGAAGGGGTCTGCCTTCGGAGGCTGGCGCTCCGTTTCGGATGTGCCCAAACTGGTGGAGGACTATCTGAACAAGGATTTGCTGGTGGACGAGTTTATAACCCACGAGATGCCTTTGGCCAAGATCAACGAGGCCTTTGACCTGATGCACAAGGGAGAGAGCATTCGCTCCATCATCAAGTACTGAAGAAGAAGATTGTATTTCAAGTTCCCTTTTTTATACCAGCAGTTGCAAGCGATTGCGTAGAATAAACAACGATTGTATATGTAATACTATCTCTACGGGGGGCCCATTCCTCTCGAGACGCCTGTAAGTATGTGTTTCGCCATTTGAATTTATTATTTCTTATGCTTGCTTATCTGTCCTGGCATACTAGTAGGTTATCAGGCTCAAAGTTCGATGAATTGTTCTAGATTGTGAAGTTTAACTATACAATTTCGTGATGAAAATAAATCTACAAGTAGGTTCTCCGATAAACTCAAACCTGTCATCCTTCACAGCATCGACCACATTAGCATATGTTATATTTCAAACACTATGCAATCGTCGTGATGTTATCGTTAGTACAACAGGACAAGTTTTTTCTTAAACTAATTAGACGAAGATATGTTCATAAGGTTAAGGCGAGTTTGATCATTAGTAATCGTGCTTGGATTTAATATTGACTACTAAGGAAAGCCCCCTCGCCTAAAGAGCTTCAGAAATGACAGGAAATATAAATACCAGGGATCGTAAATAATGAATATCAATGTTTTCTTTAAACAACAAAAATCATACATTTTGAAAAGCCACAAAAAAACAATTCTACCTTTCCGATTTGAGCGCAAGACTTTTCCCCTCCATATACATCCCTGTAAAGCTGACCCATGGAAAATGCATGCTTACATGTATAGAATGTCTGTATTTGAATACGCGGGACAACAAGGTTCGCACACAGATACTTAAAATTGCTAATAAGTCTAGTTATTTTGTCGTGTTTAACAAACGTGCATGCAGTTTTGGTTTCGCCGTTTAAATATATAATTCTCATTTTAAATGCATATTTCTTATGGAACTCGCTAGCTTATATACAAGTGTCTTTTAAATAGTACGATATTGCATATATATACGTGGGTAAAAGGTAAATTTGTTCGATTTTACTTGTGACTTAGCATCACACGCTGACGTTAAAAACATACAGAGCTGCTGCGACTTGCGGATACACATATTACGAGTATAAATATCATTACTTAGCCTAGGGAGTATCGGTACGATTGTTAGACTGTTTGGGGGGGGCAAGGGAACCGAAGACGTTCCGGAACACAAGAGAGAACAAGTGGATGCTATGGATTGATCTAGGTGTATGGGAATTCGATTGGAAACTATTTGAGCACGGCCAGGACCAGCACAGCTCGCCCGCCTCACATCCGCGAGTTGTAGTAGGGGTCGTCTTCGCAGGGTGGGTATCCGTACAAGTACGGATGGTGGCATGGCACTCACGACCAGCGCGACTTCTGCAAGTCGATCTGGCCCTCCAGGGTCTTGGCCAGGTAGATGACGAACAGCTGCAGCAGGGCGATGCCAAGAGCCACGCCCGCAATCACATAGAGGTTGCGCTCCACCCAAACGCGAACGATCTCGATGCAGCCGCTGGTCCAGATGCGCTTGCTGGCGGCGGCCACCGAATGCTCCTGCACGCCATAGCCGCACATTATGTTCACCAAACCTGAGCTGATGTCGGTGGCGTTTATGCAGCAGCTGTAGGGGACGCCGCACCTCTCTACCGACGGTGAGGAGCAGTTGAAGTACTCGTTCTTGCCTGCTCAAAGGAGGAGTTTAAACAAAATATTCAAGTTTGAAGCGAATCTCACAGATACTCACTCCAGTCCTGGTAGCCGGCGTTGCTCAGGCCGCAGCACTTGAACTCCTGCTGGGCAAAGTCAATGAAGTTCTGCAGGTCGGAGTCGTCGCGGTACGAGTGGATGATCTTGTCCGTAAACTGGTACTCCAGGAAGGAGTTCATGTACTGCGGGAACACGAAGCATATGATGGCCAGCGTCATCTCCATGATGAAGAACATCAACAGGCACATCGAGTAGAACTTCAGCAGGCAGGTATTCTCGCGCAAGGCGCCCAAGCAGCCGGCGAAGCTGACCACAAACACCACTATGCCAGCTATAATCATCACCAGTGAAATGTTAAATATCACGTCATAGACAGTGTCCAGGCGCACCCAGCCGTTGCCATCCTTCAGCTTGTCCATGAAGGCGTACACGCCGATGGCCAGGAGCAGGCCGCCGAAGAGCCAGAAGAGGAAGTTCAGCAGGAAGATCATGTATTTGACGCACGAGGAGACGTAGGTAAAGTGGTGCGGGGGGTAGGACATGCGGGGGTGCATGTAGTTGCCCCCGTGATGGTATCTATGGTTGCTCATGCTGCTTGGGGCCCTTAATTCAGAATCAGTTCAGTTCAGTTCGATCTGAGTTGTTTTCCTGGCCTTTTTCTGTTTTTTCGCTGGGTTCCACCCCCACTACTAATAGTTGACGCCCTCTCTGCGTGTGGTCGTTGTGCTCTTAACTGGCGCCTGCTGGACGGCTCAGCGCATAATGAGTATTTGGGCAGTGCAATCGGCCTCTGGATTCCGTTGTGCGACACAAGAGCCTCAGTTCTTTCCTGTGCTTAGTTGATTTTTTAATACTGATAAACAATTTCACAGAGCTCGAAACAAAGTCACAGCGCGTTGCCAGACTGCAGCACCCTTCCAGTCGCCGCCTTCGCCTATCGTTGGCAACGCGGGCAGCCAGCTGTTTGTAAGACTATCGATATCGGAGATGCTCCGACAGGCGATACTATTTTATCAATGTAGAAAATTTAATAAATACGTTTTAAAAATTTAAAAATTAATGGGTTGATTTAGAACTTTAATTAACAGAAGCCGGTAATTTTTCATATATTATTAGGTTAAAGTTGTTATTTATTGATCTATATATATTTAAGTAAATTTTTTATAAAGCGATAAATAAGATATAACCATTTTATATTAGTTTGTGTAAATGTTAAATGGGTGAATTTATTTAAGTGTAGAATCATGAAGTTTTAAAAAAGCTAAAATAAAGCCAAATTTGCTTGGAAAGTAGCTAGTTTACAAAACACTCCGCCATGTGCTGTTAAAAAACCGCCAGATCTAGGGGGAAATAGCTACTTTGGCAACGCTGGTCTACAGCTGGGGCAGGAAAACTTTTCATGGTCAGCTGTTTGTTAGCTATTTGTATTAGTTTTTGATTTTCCAACCGCTGCGTAACATTGCGACGCGCGCTTGTTGTTAGACCGAGAGCACGCTTCGATTCATAAACAAAAGGCCAAAAATAGAAGCAAAACAGGCGCAGCACCATTTCGGGCAGTTTTCAGCAGGTGAGAAGCTTCCAGGGGAACCCAGGGACATGCCACCACGCTTAGAGTGGGAAATGTGTGTGTTAAGTTTGTGTATTGTGTGTGTTCGGCTGACATTGGAGCCGAGAACTTGGGAAACTGAGCGAGCGCCAGACAATTTTCTTTTAATGAGCGTGCAATTGAGCATCCACGGCTTTCTCTCTAATGCGCTTTCTCCCTGCAGCCCAACCACACACACACACACACACTCACAGGCAAGCCAAGCGCATAAGCACAACAAGCTAAACGAAAATAGAACGGAATAATAGAAATAAAGACGGAAGTGACAACAGGACGGGCATTGCATAAATATTAGTTCGCGTGGGTTGACTTTTCGCCGTTTTCCCCCCGTGCTTTTCCCTCGCTTTCCACGCTCCGCCGTTTGATTGAATAACAAGCTAGTGGCGAATTGGCAGTGCCAAGTGCAGTTGTCACCTTGCATTAGCCGAAAACTAAGGGGACTTGAAAAATGTTTTCACTTTCTCGCCACGCACTGCGGAGCTCTCGAAATTTCGCACTAGCGGCCGCTACTTTTCCATCTAGCCGCTGCTATGCAGGTGAGTGACAGGTGAAAACGGTGGGAGGCAGACAGTCGACATTAGTATACCCTTTTCAAGTCAAGTAAGGTGCAGGCCATGCAGCAGTCTACTATTTTCTTCATTTCTTAAGTTCAGTTATTACCAAAGAATAAACAATCAAGTTATGCAAAATCGATAAACACAACTTTGACAAACATAAGCTCGATTTAAGCCATTCAAAATGTTCAATAATAAAAAAACAAAGTAAATCACAGCAGCTAGCTTAGGACTGACCATGCCCCATTACAGAGAATTTAAAATACATAAATTGTTAAATCAGCCAAAGGGGCAACGCTCCACCTGTGGGTGTGGTCCCGCATTCATTCAAAACAATGGACTTGCTTTTGATCCCATTTGTTTAGGTTCCCATCCAATCGATTGGCAAACTTCTAATTTTAGAAACAATTTCTAGTTCAAATTGCTGCCTCGTTTGCATTCCTTATGAACGCAATTTTCCGCCGCTATTTTCAGCGATTCGATTTTATTTTCACCTTTTCTCGAAATTAATTCATTTGTCTTTAATTAATTGCCCGCGACACACTTCGGTGGTTTTCTATTATTGCACCGAAAATAAAAGATGCTTCTCCTCCCCCGATCACTATTTCCCCTCGGACGCAATACACCCCAACTTTTGTGTGTTTACTTTGGGCGCCACTTTGTTTTATTGGCGTCGGCAGGCATTGTTAATTTATTTTTGGCCGATGCGTTTCTCCACTCGATTTGTTGTCTGCTCCTCTTTGGCTGCACTTAACAAATATGTTTACACCTTGGCCAATTAGCTCCAACTTCGGCTACTCGGTTGTTTGCGAGGGAGTGTACCCAGCGGAATTAGCTATATAATTTTCAGAAGAATTCAAAGACCGAAGAAGAAACAAGAATATAATTTCCTTAGTGGAACTTGTGAAATCTCAAATGAATGTATATTTTCTACTCTACTTATTCTTTTTCAGTTTAAAAGAGTTCTTGAACACTTTAAGACCAAGGAATCTTTGTTGTAACCTAAATTGGATCAACGGTCTATAATCCACCAAATACCAATAACTACTGTTTCATGTTTAAAGTAATATAGAGATTAAGAACAGTTATTTTCAAGTCGTTTATGACTTTAATCGCATATTTACCAAAATACGATGATGTTGTGGTTTTGAAAATACATTTTTTGCAACTCATTGCTGATAGCATACAGCAGTTTTTCTTATCTTATTTGTGGGCTAAGAGATGCCATTTAAATGAACAAATTACGATTGCCCAAGGTTTAGTTGAAGGTCCCTCTGATTAGTAGGAGATAAGGGAAGCAATTCTTACAGAAGGTTGGCTGCCTTAATTACTTAATTTTCATTACCCAACTAGTGGTGAGCCGGAGCGGTTACAGAAAAATTCACATAACCCAACCACAAACTAAACACTAAAGTATTATGTTTCAGATTCACGTCAAAGCAACGACAACCCGGCCAAGAGGGATTACACCGGAATAGCAAGCATGGAGAATAAGAGCGAAAAGGTTACCGTGAACAAGGAGGAGCTGCGCAAGCGCCTGACACCGCTGCAGTATCAGGTTACACAGGAGGCTGGCACCGAGCGCCCATTCACAGGTGTGCCTCCCCCCCACGAAAATACTTTTAACATAGTTATTTAGGTAAAGCTAAGTCCCAAATAACGTATTGTGTTTCCCAACCACCGCAGGCTGTTACAACAAGCACTACGAGAAGGGCGTGTACCAGTGCATTGTGTGCCACCAGGACCTGTTCAGCTCGGACACCAAATACGATTCCGGCTGCGGATGGCCGGCCTTCAACGATGTCCTCGACAAGGGCAAGGTTACCCTGCACCGGGACGCCAGCATTCCAGGTGCGTTACGCCCACGAGGCACTTTCCCAGTCGTCCATCTACCAGATGGGTCTAGACTCTAGAGTCTAGAGTTCGTTCGGCACTCGTAGTTGTTAGTTGCAAAACGTTTTGAGTTCTGTTTTATTTGAGTTGCTGTTCGTTGCCGCACTAAAGTTAAAAGTTACGTTTCAAGGAAGTTGTAACTCTAGCTAAGATCAGACTAAATCCGTGTCAGGATAGATGAAATCATTCGTAGTTGTTTCATATGTAAATATGTGCATTCATAAATTTATAGCAGGAGAGTTAAAAAAAATATCTACTACGTTTCTAAAAGCCTTAAATGCACTACCAATTTCATTCGAGTTAAGCTTAAATGTTTTCGAATTTTCAATATAAAAGAGATAGTCAATGAATCAGTGTTGTCCAGGCAATACATTTACAAGTTAGATGTGCATTTGCGTGAATATAGAATATAACAAGGTGGTTAGGTATGATACAAATGTATTTAACTCGCTTAAAAAAAGGTTAGAGCATGTGTCCTTAGAGGCCGGGCAGAGAAATTCGTTGATTCGCAACTGAGGCTTTGGGCCACCACTGCTAAAATATCTGGTTAAATATCTTAGCAATAACTTTTGCAATTAAGGCTTATGTTAAAGTAGTAGAAATAAAGTAGGAAAACCCATAAATTGCAAAATATCTCATATATGTTTTGTGCTAATTGTGTTGCCTTGTTATGTTATGTTCGTTATGTTTGTTGCTTTGTTTGTCTTGATCTTTAATTTGAACTTGAACGTGAACTTGAACCCAAACTTGTTCCATGGTACATGTGGTGCGCGTTGCCCAGAGTTCACTGTAGTTGTGCCGTTGGCCTTGCTGTTGTTGCCGTTTGTGCAGTTACCGTCTAGTCTTGTGAGTGTTCCCGCTGCAGTGGCAGCACCTGAATGTGCAACTAAGCGAGAAAAAGCGACTAAAATTAATTCCTAACCGAGTATTGTGTTCTCTTATCCACCTCTTCTATCCCGCCTGACTTTCTCGAAATTTTTATTCTCCCAAAAAAATAAACTGAAAATACGAAATACGAATCTCATTCCGACTCTTGCCCCAAACCAATATCCGCCCGCACACGAATATCACACTGTTAACCCGATTAAATCAACAGTAGTCATTTCGAAAACGTTAGGCATGGTGCGTACTGAGGTGCGCTGCTCCCGGTGCTCCGCCCACATGGGCCACGTCTTCGACGACGGACCGCCGCCCAAGCACCGCCGCTTTTGCATCAACTCTGCGTCGATCGACTTTGTGAAGAGTGCACCGGCGCCATCGAAGGCGGATCCACCGGCGGTTTCATCCAAGAAATAATGTCCGGGAGGATATTGCAGCTGGAGGGGAGCCCTATATAGAAACCTGGAGGAAATACCACACAACACAGTTAGATTTCTATACAAAGACACTTTTACTTTTGTCAAGTCGAGAGAAAGATATTTAGATATTTTATAGGAGTTTATTATGCGAAGAAAAACGAAGCTTGTACAAGAACGATATTTGGAAATGTATTACGGAACGAGGAGTGAGAGATAAGTGTTGTAGATCGTTCAAAGATCAATTGAAATTGTATATGTATCTTTTATATGTTACCCTAAACTACTCTTTCGGTTTCAAACTTTTATAATCAGGGGTGCCATAAAAATCCTTGGATTGGTAAATATTTTAAAAAGCAATGCAGTATACAATTTTCCGTTAATTAAAGTAACACTATTTAAGTTACTTTCAAATCCGTTGCGATTTCTGTGGCATCCCTGAATATCTCACCATACTTTTCGTACCTATTTAGGTGTTTTGAGAGAAAATTCTTGCTTTGGTTTATTATTTACTCTTTTCTTTTGAGCTGCTTACTCGGCATTCCCATCGAAATGTATTAAAAACTAATGAATGTTAACAACGATTTACACAATTAGGAGTTTACCTGTTTGAATATAGATAAGTTAAGCTTACGCAAGGACAGAAACGATTTAAGAGGACAAAGTGATCCGCGTAAGAGGTTTCTTTATTTGATTTTACTACGCTTTTCGGTTAACTGTCATACTGTCATCCCTCTACTCTCCTCTTTGGGGTTTGAATCCATTTTTGGCACCCATATGAGCTTATTTCATATTTCCCATTTCGATCACTATCGATCCAAGGTCAGTTTGACTTATTTTTGGGACCAGGGCCATTATTACGTGTGTGTGTGTGTCTGTGCATATGTTTGTATGTTTCGTGTAGCTTGTTCGATTATTTATTTATACATTTCATTTTTATTTGCTGGTGTTGTAATTTGGTTATTTTTATTATTTTGCTTTCGTTGCTTTCTACTCATGCTCAATGATTTGCCAATAACATAACCCGAATACTACCGACCCCACCATTATGTCCATATACTATTTAGAGTGTCTTAAGCAAACCGAATAATGTGTATTTTCGTATATTTTCTATTTCTCTTTTTTTAACTCGCTTCCAAAAAAAAAAAACACTAAATGTACGCCTGTAAACGTTCTTTGGGGGTTTGTTTTGCTAACAAAAACACACACACAAATATACACTCACACGAACTCATCAAACTTAAATTGTAACACGAAACACACTATGCATAAAATGCTTAATTAACCAAAATATTATGTACACCCTTATGTGTGGAAATGCAACCCAAAATCACAAAATCCATTTTAAATTCTTATTCGTCATGTGTTTTCGCTTGATTTACGTGAATTCATTTCATTTGTCAACCGCCGCCGTCCATGCCCATTCCTTATGCTTTCGCTCTTTCTCCGCTGCACTCTGCACTCTCTCTGGCTCTCTTTCTTCTCCCATCTTCGCCTCGCCTCGTCCTCCCCCTTTCGATCTTCGCTGCACTTTCATTTATTTGCCGTTATTTCTTCGCTGTCCCCTTGTCTCTTCACTCTTTCCACTTATCATTTTCACCCATTTTGCAATTTACCTTCTGTTCTGTTAATTTCTTTACAACAAAATCGTTGAATTAACCTTGCAAAACAAAAAATAAATAAAAAAATATTGTAAAAAATGTGAAACAAAACTGCGCTACAACAAACAAACAACAAAAAACCGAAACGTATGCAAATCTAATCCCACAAAATGGCAAAATGCAAATAAAAAGGGGGTAATATTTTACTACTAATCGCACATCCAGAACGCATACGCACCGAGGTCCGCTGCGCCCGCTGCTCGGCCCACATGGGTCACGTCTTCGAGGATGGACCGAAGCCCACGCGCAAGCGCTACTGCATCAACTCCGCCTCCATCGAATTCGTAACGGTAGCGGATGATCCCACGAACAACGCCTCCTCAGCCCCGCCAGTGGCCACGCCCATTGCCCAGCAGTGAGGGGGCCAAACGACGCCCATGTGACACGGGAGAGCGGATAGAGTCTAACCTCAATGTTGCTGTTAAGAGTTTTTTACGTGTACTTTCTAACTTTCCGCAAATGTGGCCAATTTTAGCTCATAGTCAGTCAGTCTCCGTCAAATTCTAAGTAAGGAAAAGCGAGCGCTCTTTCGCGTGTCTTCTGTTTGTGTAAATAGCTAACGTTTCCCCTCTAAATCTATTTGTTAAAATGCATACAAAACAATACCGAATACTCTGTATCACATTCAACACATAACTAATTTTAAACTGAGCGCGCTAAATAAACGTGTATTTTTTACAATAGTTTATGCCCAGGTGTTTCTATCTATCGAATTTATCGTTTCGAAATACACTAATGACTGTCAGGTGAGAAACAGCTGAGCCGCATTGCCAACCATCTCGAATGTTTTCGTGCGAACAGATGCTGCGTCGCAGTTGTTGTTGTTGTTGTGGCCGTGACGTAACAGCCGGCCATAACAACATGAAATCGAATTTATTTATGGCTCGGAAGTCAATTGATTTCAATTGCGGCTGCCGCTTTGGGTAAATGTATATATTTATTAGTCCCAAAAGTGTGTTCTGTGCTGGCGACAAATCGATAACAGCGCCATTGGCAGTAGCAAATCGTTTGTGTACGCGGGTGAACACGTGTAGGGTGCTTGGAAAACCGTTAGCCCGATCCACCTGTGGGAGAGTAATTCCGCACACTAGCGTTAGTGTTCCATGAGTGACATTCAAAAGGTAATTGCGAGCGTCGCCGGCCGGTTGTGTCTGCAATAGCCGCATTATAAATTCACAATTATCTAACAATCGTTGGAACAACGATTTCTGTGTAAATATAACGACGCGCTCGCTCCGAAGTGATAATTTCGAATCCGCGGAGTCTAGAGATTAGATTGAGCACCCGACGACCATGGCCTGATACACCAGATTGTCCGTGAATCCAGGCTGGCCCGCCAGCGATATATTCAGCTTACTCTTGTCCAAATGTGGATGCAGAACACCAGCTACCGGCCACAGATTTTGGCGCTCTTCCTTACGCCACTCTACATTACGTTAGGGATCGCTTGACCGTTACACAATCCAAAAGATGAAGGAGTGGCTGAAGATCTCGTGTCTGCTATGCGTCTTCGGATTCGTTCGCGAGATCCGGCCGTCGGAGCCGTACGTCACGGAGTACCTGCTGGGTCCCTGGCGTAACATCACAAGTGACCAGGTGAGTGCGATCGAGTTCATTAGCAAGGGACATTCAAAGTTATACTCTTTTTGCTAACTGCAGCTCACGCAAGATGTCTACCCGGTGGGCACCTATTCGCACATGGTGCAGTTGGTCTTTGTGTTCCTGATAACCGATTTCCTAAGGTAACTTAATACAGAAGTATATATTTATGTTTTCTGGTTCATTGTTAAGTAAGCTAAGATACAATCAGTATGGGGTTTCATCTTAAAGAACCTGTGGAATATCCCTAGCATAAAAACAAAATATTCATTAATTAATTTGGCCAACAGGTACAAACCCCTGATCATTACTATTGGCGCCACAGGCGTGATAATCTGGAGCATGCTCATCTGGACCACTAGTCTGCTGTCGCTACAGATTGTAGAGTTCTTCTATGGCACCTACATGGCAGCCGAGGTGGCATACTACACCTATATATATGCCAAAGTGGACAAAAAGTACTATCCCAGGGTCACGTCGCACACCCGCGCAGCCATGTTTGCCGGCAAACTGGTTTCCGGGATCACATCCCAGCTGATGCTTTATCTGGACTTGATGAACTACAAGCAGCTAAACTACATTACGCTGGGCAGTAAGCTTACCGTTGAAATGGAATCAAGCTGAGCTCTAAACTTCCACTATTTCAGCTCAAATAATTGCCATGCTGTGGGCTTTCGGCCTGCCTAAAGTGCACAAAAGCCTGTACTTCCATCGGGAGCAGATTGCCACTGACATTGATCAGCAAACGCAGCTGCCCGGAGAAGACAATCTGGATGTGGCGGTCCCCCATCCGAAAGCTCCTCCCAAGAAGCCCCGCGCTCTGGTTCTGATATGGGATCACACCCGTACTGCCTACACCAATCCCCGCGTCGTACAGTGGAGTCTGTGGTATGCAATTGGGTTGGCTGGCTACCTCCAGGTCACCTACTACATGCAAGTTCTGTGGAAAGTCATTGAGCCGGAGCCTTTGATTGCCTGGAATGGAGCTGTCGATGCCGTATTAACTGCTCTGGCGGCTCTCAGTGCCTTGGCCGCCGGATATCTGCACACCGGGCGCCTGAAACCGCGCACTTCCCTACTGATCATGGTTTTCTTGTCCGCCTTGGAGGGCGGCTGTGTGCTTATCTGCTGCTGGACGAAGGACATTTACTGGTCGTATGCGGGATTCATTGCATTCGGCGGTCTTTACGGCTTCACCATCACCTTGGCTAGGTGAGCACATTGATATTTAAGACCAAGTCTTATCCAACTACCTATAACATGGCTATCCTTGCAGTGCTGAGGTGGCCAGACATTTGGAGGATGATATTTTCGGCCTTGTTTTTGGCTTCAATACTTTGGTTGCCCTGATCTTTCAGTCCGGCTTGACCATGATCTTCGTCTCGGGCTTTAAACTCGATCCCGTGGGTCAGTTCACGGCGTACGCCTTCTATTTCATTGGCGTGGGCGTGCTCTATCTTATATCTGTGCTGGTGGAGTGGCTCTGGTGCCCGGCCCCCGAGAGCGAAACGCTGGAAAACTCTTTGGAGTAATTTTTGGATGCATTTAGACAGTACTTAAAGTTGCCGGTCTGTGACTTAAGAAAACACATGTTCCTGCATTGGAATACTCCATGATAGTATTCATGCGATGGTTGATTGTATTCTCAGAAGTGTTATCTCACCTAATTATCTGCAAATCTGATGCCGACTTCTAAGTAAACTGTGCAGATTTCCATTTATAAAGCGCACAATCAGTCTCAAGTGCTCGGAATAAAGATACCAATTATTTGTAGTACTCACTGCGTTTAATTATCAAGTCCTCTAAATCACAGCACTTCATTACTTCATAAATGCTATAGCTGAGACGGATAGAGGCGCTGACAACCGATTATATGTCAAGATAATGCAATGCTTTCTGTGTTGCTGCGCGAACTGGTACGCACCTTTAAACTAATTGAGCGTATAAAAAGAGAGTACATTTTTTCTTGATCCCAGCTGGGTGCGTTCCTACGAATTGATACCCTGTACTTTCTTTACTATTTATAAGTGGACAATCTTCTTCTTAACTAATCAGCTCAGATATGCATGTTCAATTAGCAGCCATTGGATTATTTAGTATAAACAAGTCTGCCTCTTAAGACTCACTGAGAATTTCCCTGCATATCCCACCTAATTGCTCAGATAATAGTCTAATTAGCCGATCACTTCTAAGGCCAAGTTGATGGAGTGGGAACCGCAGCAGTCGAGAGCAGCTCAATCAAGATCGTGACCATGCCCAATGCACGTAAGCGGAAACTTCCCGCTTCTCCAGCCTTCCAATCACACCCGTTAGAGATCTCTCCGAGCTCGTAAAAAGAGATATAGCGTATGGCGTTGCGCTGATTACAAGCGTCGGAGCTAAATCTCTATACTCGGGAGCTAACCCTGCTGAGCCCTCGGAAGAATGCACAATTATTTTAATAGCTGACCGAGCGAAGCTCTCCACACACCGCCAGACATCGTTAGTCCAAGCACTATCGCTCGGTTATTGTAAAAATCGCGATTAGATTTTAACCGACAGTCGAAGCGGGATGGAGTCTTGGCTGAAGGTATCGTGTGTGCTCTGCATTTTTGGATTTCTGCGGGAATTGCGACCTTCGGAGCCCTATCACGCGGAGATCCTGATGGGCGAGTGGTACCACGTCACCCAGGACGAGGTCAATCGCTCCGTCTATCCAGTGGGCACCTACTCCTACCTGGCGCTCCTTATATTCGTCTTTCTGATAACCGACTTGCTGAGGTATGCGCTAACATCGAACGCGTTATCAGTAATCCGATGCATCATAATTCTGGAACAGATATAAGCCCGTGATCATTGCCAACGCCCTGACCGGTATCTTCATTTGGGGCACACTGATCTGGACCACCACTCTGTCGGGGTTGCAGGCAGTGGAAGTATTATATGGCTTCTACCAAGCGGCCGAGGTGGCCTACTACTCGTACATCTACGCCCAAGTGGACAAGCAGTACTACCCCAGGGTCACCTCACACACCCGAGCGGCAATGTTCGTGGGCAAACTGGTGGCTGGAATTTTGGCGCAGCTAGTCATTGGCATGGACTGGATGAACTACAAGCAACTATTCTACATCACGGTCAGCTGTAGGTTGCTCATCGAGGATTAGGTTTTCTTTTATTTACTAATTCCCTCTAACGGATCCGCAGCTCAGGTCGTGGCGCTGCTGTGGGCCTTTTTCCTGCCCAAGGTGGACAAAAGCTTGTACTTCCACAATCGAACGGAAACTATTAAGGATGTTATCAGTCCCGATACCGGTGGGCTTGAGAAGGGTCCTGAGCACGTTAAACCAGAGGTCACGGATGCCAAGGTGACACCTATCCCAAGTAAGGGTGTCCATGCCTTGCAGCTCCTAAGGTCGCATTTCCACAGCGCCTATACAAATTCCTTGGTGGTGCAGTGGAGCCTGTGGTACGCCATGAGTCTGGCAGGATTTCTCCAGGTTACCACCTACATGCAGGTGGTATGGAAATCCTTCGAAAACGAGCCAACAGTGAGTAAAATTAGACAGTTGTTCGTAAGAGAGAGTTGATTCTGGAGGTCTCTTCCACAGATTATTTGGAACGGGGCTGTCGACGCAGCTCTGACCCTGCTAAGCGCAGTCTTTGCTCTTCTGGCCGGGTATTTCCATGCCGGACGTCTGAGCTCCAGCACCAGCATGCTCTCGATGGCCCTGCTGTCCATCCTGGAGGGAGGATGCGTGCTTCTGGCTTGCTGGACCTCCAACATATACCTATCCTACTTGGGCTATGTGCTGTACGGCGCCTTGTTCGCATTTACCATAACGGTGGCCAGGTTGGTCTTTTAATGCAATTTAATCTCTGTGGAAAATATCTACAGCTCTTGAAATTATAGTTCTGAGTTGGCCAGCAGTTTGCTGGAGGACAGCTTCGCCTTGGTGTTCGGGTTCAACACCTTTGTGGCTCTCATCCTGCAGGTCATCATGACGTTTGTGGTCGTGTCGGAGAATGCCAATCTGAATCTCGATGTCTTCCAACAATTTACTGTTTACGCCTTTTATTTTATAGTCATTGGAGTCCTTTATTTTGTTGCATTTCTTCTGAAATATGTATTGTCATGCTTCACAAAATCGAAGCAAATTATTGAGGAAGTAAACTAGTAAAATGTTCAGAGAAAACTTAAATTAGTTTTCCGATGTAAATAATAACATATATAGTATGTATGTATATTTTAAGAAAATAAATAATTTACATCAGTCCTTGACAAAAAATATAAATAAAGTGTACATTACATATGTAAAAACACCCAGTTTTTGATGATTCTCTTTTGCTCTTATATAATTTCACCGATTCCTATGACAATGCCATTTTTTGACACTTTTTCCTAATTCCTATTAATTCAGCTCAAAAGATGCAAAATTATATGGCGAGGTGCTGGCATAATTTTTGAATTGCATACTTTTATGGTGCACTGTACTTTTATGGGGACTGTGTTCTTTTATGCAGTAAAACGAAGACGCACTCAACTGTGCATTGACTCCTCCGATTGATTTCAAAAGTTTGTACTGCAAATGTCAATTTTCCAATTTCGTTCAGTGTCCTAAATCGGTATTGAAAATAAACTCTTTGTTAAGACATAGTAAATGAGTTTATAACTTATAAATTAGTGAGCTAGTCGCACTGGGTTAATAATTTACTTTTATACTAGACTTAAACAATTTAATTTGTATTATTATACCCTTGCAGGGCATTATAATTTCAGTCAGAAGTTTGCAACTCAGTGAAGGAGACATTTCCGACCCTATCAATATATACACATATATATTCTTGATCAGCATCATTATCGACTAGTCTGATCTAGCCATGTCCGCCTGTCTGAATGAAACATTGCAGATAGTCTTCTGCCTACACTCACTGCTATATATGTCGGATCGGACGACAATATCATATAGTTTTAATAGAACTTATCGACAAATTAAAAAAAATATATTTAGATTAAATTTGCTTTTTAATATTTTAGAAATTTGGTTTTAATTTGTTGTGATTGGACGACTACTGCCATAGGAACGACCGGAAAATTAATCGAAAAAAAATAATACCTTGTTGTTTTTCAACATATTTTCATCTACTCTGAGATATGAGCTTTTTTAATGTTTCAGAATTTCGGTTTTAATTTTATGAACTTAGCATATGACATTATATTCAGCATAGAAACGATCGGTAGATGTAGAGAAATGTGTGAAGCTGCAAGTGTAAAACTTTTACAGATCAAACATTTATTTCCCAATAGTATTATTTAAATATTAAATATAACAAATGTTTACATTTTACCTAATAAATAAAAGTAAAATATATTTCATGTTATTTTCGCAATCTGAAGATGTAGTTGGTAATCAAACTGAAATATTGCAACTGTGAGAATACTTTGGGAAACTTTAAATAACATGCCTTGAAGTATGAATGTATTTCTACTACGTTATATTAAATATACCCTTGTAAACTATGGAATTCAAGCAAATACATTAGTGTTATATGTTTATTATTAGTTTTAAATTTATATCGTTTTAGATTTTTTAACATTATAAACAGATTTCACCCTAAAAGCCTTTACTTCCCTTTGTTGGCTTCGAAGCGGCATAAAACGCTGGGTCTGGAAGGGAGCATCTGATGCTGTATAAGCCTCTTGGTTATCATGTGCCTTGGCTGATGAATATGACGTTTACTGGTCGCTTGGAGATTCGTGCTAATGGTTTTGACTTGGCTTTACTATTAACATGGTTAGGTACAAACATTGATTTTTGAGACTAATGAATGTCCATCACCCCACACTATAACATCTTTTCAGTGCTAAGTTTCCAGCGGAAAACTTAATTTAGATTTTGTAGCCGATTGGTGTCTTTATAGAGCACATGTTTTTCCTAAGAAATACTCTGAAATAGTACTCATGCGATGATGGATTCTATCCAGACGCGGTAACTTATGAATCTTATTGTTATCTACTTCAGTAAACAGGGTAAATATCCATTTATAGAGTGTGCCATTTAGAGATATCTGAGTCTTTATACCGAGTTCTCTAAATCAGATTCAGATTCAGACTTCATTTAGGAAGATTATGAGAGATATTCATAAATCAAGATCACCTTATGCTGGTTTCCTAGTGCCTTTTTCAGCACCCAGAGCGATCGTCACTTTTATCTCGGCCCGAGTTTTTTGGGATTGTGACCTGACCATACACAATACAGCTAAGCAAAGTCTTTACGGTCTTCCCTCCATCCAGGCCGTCCGCCTATACTTGGTTGGAGAACTCTGAGAGCTCGTAAATAGTGAATAGCGTCTAGCACTGAGCTGATTACAAACGTTGGAACGACATCCCTGTAGGCGGAATAGTGTTTAATTACTTTAATATCTCTCCACCCTGCGCCAGACATCACTGGTCCACGCACTGTCACTAGATTATTTTAAATATCGCCATCAGATTAAAGACAACAGCCGTAGCGGGATGGAGTCTTGGTTAAAGGTCTCGTGTGTGCTCTGCATTTTCGGATTCCTGCGGGAATTCCATCCATCCGATCCCTACCACGCGGAGATCCTGATGGGCGAGTGGTACCAAGTCACCCAGGATGAGGTCAATAGATTCGTCTACCCAGTTGGCACCTACGCCTACCTGGCGCTCCTTATATTCGTCTTCCTGATGACCGACTTTCTGAGGCACGTATGCAATCTTTACTGCATCACAATCCTTTTCACAATCTTTTTGGAATAGATATAAGCCTGTGATCATTGCTAACATTTTGACTGGGATATTCCATTGGGGCACACTGATTTGGACCAGCACCCTGCCGGGGCTACAGACAGTAGAAGTATTCTATGGCTTCTACCACGCGGGTGAGGTCGCCTACTACTCGTACATCTACGCCCAAGTGGACAAGCAGTACTATCCCAGGGTCACCTCACACACGCGAGCGGCTCTGCTCGTAGGCAAACTGGTGGCAGGACTCCTGGCGCAACTAGTAATTGGCTTGGATTGGATGAACTACAAGCAACTACTCTACATCACGGTCAGCTGTAGGTTGCTCATTGAAGAGCTAACTCCTCTTAGTGGTTGCATTAATCGACTTTACACAATTCACAGCTCAAGTCATGGCGTTGCTGTGGGCTTTTTCCCTGCCCAAGGTGGACAAAAGCGTATACTTCCACAATCGAACGGAAACCATAAAGGATGTAATCACTCCCGATACCGGTGGGCTTGAGAAGGGTCCTGAGCACGTTAAAGCGGAGGTCACGGATGCCAAGGTGACACCCATCCCAAGTAAGGGTGTCCATGCCTTGCAGCTCCTATGGTCGCATTTCCACAGCGCCTATACAAATTCCTTGGTGGTGCAGTGGAGCCTGTGGTACGCCATGAGTCTGGCAGGCTTTCTCCAGGTTACCACCTACATGCAGGTGGTATGGAAATCCTTCGAAAACGAGCCAACAGTGAGTAAAATAAGACAGTTGTTCGTAAGAGAGAGTTGATTCTGGAGGTCTCTTCCACAGATTGTTTGGAACGGGGCTGTCGACGCAGCTCTGACCCTGCTAAGCGCAGTTTTTGCTCTTCTGGCCGGGTATTTCCATGCCGGACGTCTGAGCTCCAGCACCAGCATGCTCTCGATGGCCCTGCTGTCCATCCTGGAGGGAGGATGTGTGCTTCTGGCTTGCTGGACCTCCAACATATACCTCTCCTACTTGGGCTATGTGCTGTGCGGCGCCTTGTTCGCATTTACCATAACGGTGGCCAGGTTGGTCTTTTAATGCAATTTAATCTCTGTGGAAAATATCTACAGCTCTTGAAATTGTAGTTCTGAGTTGGCCAGCAGTTTGCTGGAGGACAGCTTCGCCTTGGTGTTCGGGTTCAACACCTTTGTGGCTCTCATCCTGCAGGTCATCATGACGTTTGTGGTCGTGTCGGAGAATGCCAATCTGAATCTCGATGTCTTCCAACAATTTACTGTTTACGCCTTTTACTTTATAGTCATTGGAGTCCTTTATTTTGTTGCATTTCTTCTGAAATATGTATTGTCATGCTTCAGAAAATCGAAGCTAATTATTAAGGACGTAAACTAATAATAGGCTATTAAAAATAAAATTAATACATTATCTAATTATATACTATAAACTATAGTTTTCGGGCTAAAAGTGAGCTATTCAATGAAATACAAATTTCTAAAATTCTTCAATGAACTTAAACGATTTAATGAAATCGTACATAGTCTGATAAGACGGCAACCCAAAACAAATAATCGATGCGGAATACTTGAGATCGGTTAATTCAATAAACGGACTTCAGATTGCACGAAAATGATTAGAACGTTAACAATATCTATTCAAGGCACTCGTATACTTACGGTTATGAGGCATTCTTGAAGCTCGACACTTTTATGAATATTTCACTAGGCCAATCGAAGATGCTTATCCGGGGGTTATCTAGAGTGTTGATTCTGCGGATTTCGCCCAGGACCGGGAGTGCAATTGTTATTTTTTATACTGAGTATTATCACGCTGCGTTATCACCATGAGAGCTATTGTAAAACTCTTGAATCCAATCCAAATCGAAACGCGATGATAAGTCGCACAGGAGCAAATATAAATCCGCCGGCGTCCGTACAAGAGGCATTGTGAAAGTGAAAGCGAAACCTATACCTCCGCCATGAAGTACCTGCTCAGCGTGACTCTCCTGTTGGCCATCGGTCTGCAGCAGATCGATGCCCATGGAATGATGCTGTCCCCGCCCAGTCGGTCCTCCCGCTGGCGCTACGATGGCTCTGCCCCTCAGAATTGGAACGACAATGAACTCTTCTGCGGTGGATTGTATGTGAGTGGAGAAGATATCATATTTGTATTACATAAAAAGGTGTATTGAAGATAGAGATTTTTGACTTCAGTCCAAGGCAAGATTTTAAGATATAACTAAGAAGTTAGGCGGTAGAATCTCTGGCATTGTTCAAACGTCTATTATCCATTATTGTATTATTATGTCAGATCCTACTTAAGCAACTTAATTTTTCTTTCGTTTATGAATCATAAATAAACATACATATCTCAAGAGCTTACTAGTCCGATTAGTGTTTTGAACTGAGTGAATCAGAACAACAAATATTCTACAACATTATCTTTGTACCTTATTCGTTTTTATTTAAGCTTGGTAACCAACTTTAAATAAATTTCCTAAGAGTGACATCTCGCTTTTGCGGAAAAGCAAAAAACGTTGCCAGTTTAAAAATCTTAGCAGCTGTAATTTCAAAACGAAATCTATGAGTTGATATCTTTCAGAAGCAAATATGAAGGGAAAATTTAAGGAAAAAATAGCCTAGATTGGAACGATTTTCTTCTTGCGAAGATAAAATTTAGATAAGTGAGGGTGTTTGGATCAATTCGGTGCAAAACGAGCCTTTTCTCAAAAATGTGAGCTGAATGAATTAAATACCGTATAATAACACAACATTGAAAGAATTTTGTGTTAAATTTTTTTTATTGAAAAATTTTTAAAGGTGTAGGAATAATAGGGAATCTCTAGAGCGCCCTCAAAAAAAAAGGGCTAAGTGGGGTTTTTATTTTTTCTCTGACTTTTAAATTAAATTGGAAGTTAAAAATTTTAACTACAAAAATCCCAAAGTTTGCCTAAAATTTTAAGTTCTTTGTCAAATAAAAAAATAATAATAAACTTTAAATTACAAAAAAAAAACCCGAAGTGAGTACTTGTAGAATTAGTTAAAGAACTTATTTGCCCAATTTTAAATCGATTTGAGTAGATTTTCAGATTTTGATCATGTACACCGATTTTCAAAATGGTAAAAAAGGTCAAAAGGAAATGATTCTTTTTATGCTGAAAGGATTTACATATAAATATGTACATACATATGTACTATGTAGTTTTTTATTGGTGCAAAGATTGGTGTTGGGTCATTTTTCATTATTCAGATATTTGCTAAAGTGAATCGCAAAAAACGGAAGTGATTTTTGAGGTCGATCAATTCAATTGCTAATTTCTGCTAATCCAAAAACAATTTTTTAGTGCAACTTATTTTAAACGTTAGTGCACTGATGCCTCTTGTTTAGAAGTTATTATCAAAAGAAAACATTCCCTTTTTATAAAGTTTTTCAAGAAAATAATGAAATGCAATTTAGCATATGAATTCATGGATATCTGTTTAAGAATATGCAAGATTCTGTAGAAATTGTTCAATTAGGACACTTCTAACTGTAACTATTTAACAAAAGAAGACCCTCTAGGCCCCAAATGTGACTTGAGGCACTTATTACATTATTTACAATTCTAAAAATAATAAATTCTCTTTTTATTTTTGTGAAAGATTAGTTTATTTAGTATTAAAATAAAATTACATATAGGCAAATATGTAATAGGCATGGGTTGTAGCAGTGAAATAGTAATAGGCATCTATTAAATTTTATCTCACATTACAGGTAGACGAAAGATTCATTTTTCTTCTTTCTTTTTAACAGCATATTTGAGTTTAGAAGGCACAAATCATTCTGCCTAAACATATATTATTTACCCTTAAATAAGCCTATAAATTACCTGAATAACTGTCTAACATATATCCATAGTTTTTCTTGGTACTCACATTTTAAACCCCATCCGTTTGCATCCACAGACCCAGTCTAACAACGGAGGGCGCTGTGGTCTTTGCGGCGACAACTTTTCGGATGGCCAGCCCCGTGCCAACGAGATTGGAGGCAGCATCGGTGGTGCCGGCGTGGTGACCAGGAGCTACTCGGCTGGAAATGCCATTACCGTAGGCGTGAAGATCACCACCAACCACCTTGGACACTTTGAGTTCCACCTGTGCAACCTGGATGCCTTTGGCGGTGAGTCGGAGGAATGCTTTAACCAGCACCGCCTTCGTTTTGCTGATGGCAGCGACACCTTGAACATTGGCACCCAGCGTGACGAGTTTGATGTGACCGTTATTCTGCCGGATGGAGTCACCTGCCAGCACTGCGTCCTCCGCTGGACCTATGTGGGTGGTAAGTTCTGGCCACGGTTGCGCTTTGCCGAAAAATGATTGAGTTGTTTTTGTCTTCCAGCCAACAACTGGGGTATCTGCGACAACTCTGGCAACGGAGCCCTGGGCTGCGGCCCCCAGGAAACTTTTAAGAACTGCGCCGACGTGAGGATCGACTGGGGTCGCAACCTTGTCAAGGAGTTGGTCACTGGTGGAGAGCCCGTGGCCCCCATCGAGGTGGTCTAAGAAACTAGTCTCGAGGGAAACTGCCTCTTAAGTCTGAAATGTATTAAAGCCAAATAATAGTCAGCCAAAGTTAAATAAAAGTCAGAGCATTACAAATAATACATGGTTTCCCCGACTTGTAGAGGTCTTTGTTTGTTATATATTTAAAAAAAAAGGTTGAAAAAGTTACTAAGTAAATCTAGAAGAAACAGATGCAAGAGGGGTTCTAGTTCTACCTTCTGCAACTGAAAACTTTTTGTATGAATGTTTCGGAGAGTCAGGTGACCTGTTCTTAGCCGAGATGTTCTGCCAGGGAACAGAGGTCGGCTTTAATTCGGGCATGTTTACAATTGCAAGTATGGGTAGAAGACGGCTAGAACTGGATTGTAATAGGCTGAGCTTAGATTCTCGGCTTAATGTGCTGGCCAGTGAGCATATTCCTCCAGAACACGAAGTTGTCGTGTAACACACGGCTGAAGATGAGGCTAACGAGAAGGTGACCGACGATGTGGTAGAAGTAATCGGAGCTTCATGAACTCTTCCAGAACTACATTGAGCAAGATCTGGCAGTACATGTCTCGTATTTCCAAGGTACCTGGTACTTCTTTCATTATCAGACAGTCTGGCATCCTATTGTAGTAGTCTAGCAAGCCCTTTATGGCTCCTCTTCTGGGCTTGCACGTAGTCTGAGGGTAAATAAAATGCCTAAAAGAGTTCCCGACGGTTTATTCTAAGTGCTGAAGGAAGAGCGAAAACGGTATAAGTTCAGCTGAAATTGTTGCAGAACGACGCAATTGTTTTTAAAACATTTAACAGAAAACAAATTATTTTCTTTTAGGCAAAATTTAAATTTTGGGAGCACTTTCCGGTCCCTATGACAATAAAGTCGAGACTGAAAGTTGGAGAAAGTTTCCTTCCTGTTAATAAAAACAATAACAACAGAGGTTATGCAATATCTGTAATGGCTCGATTATGAGTCAGTTTTAGGGGTTCAAAAGCCTCTCAGATAGGAATAGGTTGATCTGAAGCGTATAAACTATTACTACTGATGTGGTTCCTTCTGCGCCCATTTTTTCAATAAACTGTTTTTTTTTATTACTTTGGCCAAAAACAACAAAAAAAGAACTTGCCAATAGACAAGTAGCAGCTGTGGTTACGATCGTTTAATTGGCGCTACCCAAATCACCAGACCACTTGCTAACTATTGCTAATTTTCTTGGTACTTTACCTTCCATCGTATCAAGCTTATACGTATGGTGGCGTATACTTTTAGGGGGCGAATTTCCCCTTTGGTCGAGCCTTTGATTTTTATTAAATCGAAGCCGACTGGAGACCTCAAGTCTGCATAACATTACAAATACTAATCAGATATAGGTCGCTGCTAAAAAACAACTTAAAAATTGATTTAACTTAATCAGCTAATCAGCTTCCTTTTCTTTTTTAGGTAAAATCTCGTAAGTTAGTCTCATAATAAATAGAAAAATTAGTTTTGGCATCGATGAGCGATGTTAAAAATTGGGTTTATGAAGGTATAGTCAAATTAAAGAATTAGTTTAAACAAAATGCCTGTTATTTCGATTACAGGTATTGTTTTTTTCAGTAATCCTTTGATATTTCATATTAGCTAACTGATTTTGATAATATTAATGTTAAAACTAGATAAATGCCCTGGTAAAACTGCTTGAACAGATTTCTTAAACAATTTTTTAGACATCAATTCGTTGTGGTACTGAGCACCATTAAGTTGTAAGATCCAAGCGATATTCGGAAGTATTCCAAACAAAAAACCATGAACTTTCAGAATATTAACAAATCCAGACTGATTTCAAGTGATATTAACTAGTACCACATCAACAAGTCGAAAATAAGATAGAATTCTAACAGACAGACAGAGCCTGACAAAGGCACCTACAAACCTAAGAGGTAGTTTGACCTTTTTCTTCTTACGTATATGTCCTAAACGAACCTTGTTATTAATCTGAAGGCTACAAGTCCAAAAAACATTGCTCCCAAATTGATAAGCTTTTTGGTATACTTTAATGAAATTCAATGTCGTTTTGTTTGGTTTACCGGAGTAATACAAATTAGTTTTCAGACAAGATACAATCCGCTATTCACTTCTTTTTTGCCATGGCTAGTGTGTTCTATCACTTATCTTTATTCAAATAATTTGTTATATGATATTTTAGAGACTTTTAAATGACCAAATGAAGGATTTTTCATGAATGTTTCATTGAGTTGTCAAATGAATAGAAAATCTAACTAACTAACTAATTTATTCGTAGCTTGATATTATTCGTAGCGCCATAAGCAATTAACTCTTATCAAAATGGCATTGGTGGGTTAAACACCAAGAGTCTCATAAACAGGTCTATGAGGTTAGAATGATTCAATTACCAACCATTAGAGGTTTTGTTTATATGTGTCATACTGAGGTGTTTTGCCCAATTCCCAAGCCAGATACTACCAATTCCCCAAAATTTGAACTACTAATAACCATAAAAAGAGCAAAGATTAAATTTCGATAAGAACAATTCACAGTTATTTGACGAAAAATCAAAAACAAACATAAACCGCTTGGTAACTGATAAGACCGAGAATATGGAACTATATAAGCCCTCCACCATGGCACCATGGATCAAAGTGAAAGTGAAAGTGAAAGCGAAATGAAATCCTTGGAGGTTATCCTGATTATTAGCCTAGGCATTTTCTGTCTGATGCAAGAACTGGAGGCGCACGGAATGATGTTGAGTCCTGTGGGACGATCTTCCCGCTGGCGTTATGACTCTTCGGCGCCCACAAATTACGATGACAACGGATTGTATTGCGGTGGCTTCTGGGTAGGGTTTCCCGCAAATCCTGTTGTTCGCGCTCCATTACATATAGTGTATTGCCTTTCTATAGAAACAAACCGAGAACGGTGGACGCTGCGGGCTGTGTGGCGATGATTGGAGCTTGGCGCAGCCGCGTCCCAACGAGCTGGGCGGCAAATATGGCAGTGGAGTGATCGTCAAGTCCTTCAACGGCGTCACAGAGGCTGAAATTACCGTGAAGATTACTGCCAATCATCTGGGCTACTTCCAGTTCCACATATGCAATCTGGATGAAAACGGCAGTGAGTCAGAGGAGTGCTTTGAGCAGTATCCCTTGACCTTTGCTGATGGCAGCAAAAAGTACTACATCAATACAACCATTGGCAACATTGTGATGACGGCCCAACTGCCGACCGATCTCAACTGCGTCCACTGCGTCCTCCGCTGGACATATACGGCGGGCAATAATTGGGGCGTCTGTGAGGACGGCTCGGGCGCCATGGGATGCGGTGCCCAGGAGACCTTTGTGAACTGTGCAGATATCAGTGTACTCTCCTCGGCCAGGAGTATCATCCAGGAGGTGCCAGTGGAGGTGGTGGGAGCTGCTTGAATATCTCATCCTATTTAGATTCCTATCTGCAGTGGCCTTGCGAACAACAATATTTAATCTCAATAAATTATTTATGTTTTTATATTTAATTACAAATCCACACTATTTTAATACTCTGTAACGATCGTGGGCAGATTTATTTTCAATAGGACGGTCAAGCTATTAACTATTTTTACTTTTTGTAGCAACGGCGACACTGAAAAGACCGTTAGCCACGCCATCAAACAAGCGGGAACCTTCAATCGTCCTCCCAAAGTTATAAGCCATTGAGTGAAAGGCGGAATCTTGGCCCTTTATAATTTCTCTTTACCTTTCTTTCCGATCCGAAAACTTCCATAACCTACCCGCCAGGTGGCGCTATACCCTCCCAAGCCCTCACAGGCAGTCCTCACAGTGACCCATAGATGGCGTCCAAGTGTTACAGTCTTAACAAGAAAGGAAGCTAACTTCGGCACGCCGAAGTTTGAATACCCTTGCAGATTGGTTTCGATGTTTATATTATAGATTTAAATGCTGAAAACAGTCACAAAACAGAGTTTCATTACATTTTATCTATACTTATTATGTTTACAGTTTGACAGTTACAGTTTTACATTTCCAGTTTTACATTTTCTCTACATCTACCGATCGGTTTATATGGCAGCTATATGATATAGTTGTCCGATTTTTATGAAATTTATACCATATTTCTAGAATAATAAAAAAAGCTTATATCTCAGAGTAAATAAACATACGTTGAAAAACAACGACTCTATAATTTTTTTTCCTATTTATTTCTTGACCGTTCCTATGGCAGCTGTATCATATAGTCATCCGATTTTCATATAATTTTTACCAAAATTCTGAAATAATATAAAATGGCCATATCTAAAAAATGGTGCAAAAATGTTGAAAAACAGCCAAGTTATAATTTTTTTTCTACAAATATATCGAACATTTGTATGGCAGCTATATGATATAGTCGTCCGATCCGGCCCGTTCCGACATATATAGCAGTGAGAGCATATAGAAGACTATATGCAAAGTTTCATTCGGATAGCTTTAAAACTGAGGGACTAGTTTGCGTAGAAACAGACAGACAGACAGACAGACAGACAGACAGACAGACAGACAGACAGACAGACAGACAGACGGACAGACGGACAGACGGACAGACGGACAGACGGACAGACAGACAGACGGACAGACGGACAGACGGACATGGCTAGATCGACTCGGCTGTTGATGCTGATCAAGAATATATATACTTTATAGGGTCGGAAACGTCTCCTTCACTGCGTTGCAAACTTCTGACTGAAATTATAATACCCTGCAAGGGTATAAAAAGGATATTACGAGGAGGTTATATTATCAGATGATATTATGGCATGGCCTTTCTATTTAAAATTATGAATATTCCTTTAAAGATTGAGCAATATTATTCTGTAACTGGAAAATAATCTATATGATCATACTTCTATAAGCAACTTCAATATAAAGCTCAAAATTTGAAGAATTCACATTTAAAACACATTTAAAATATTTTATAAGGCTTAGCAAAGTCTGGCGAAGTAGCAGCAGAAATAGGATCCACCCTGAAACTTAGTTAAGGTATTAAATAAATTCTAGCTCTTCAAAGATTATGAATGTATATTTTTCTTTTATTCAATAATTGTATGATCGTATATATTTATTTATACATTTATATGCGTGTCTTTCAAGTGTGTGTTTTTGAGTTTTGATGGTGAGGACCGTTTGTCGTCTTGGTCGGAGACAAGGGCTTTCCCTGCACTCTGAGGGGAGCGACTAATTAAGCAATTAATTAAATGAAAGCCATTATTATCTCCGACGTTTCCTTGACGATCAGATGAGATTTGCACATTTCAATAATTATATATGTATGTTGTTCTTGTATCTGTATTTGTTACACTATCCTGTATATGTTTGCATTTGTATATTGTATTGTTATATTCGTAATTTGTCTTAAGTGTTCCGTGGCTTACAAAATACGTTTCACAATAACTGGCTTATTAGTTAACTTCAGAAATAAGTTTGTATATATATATATATATATATGTATCATAAGTTTGTATGTTTTCTGTTATTTTACAAAGCCTTTAAGTCAATCGCAAACGATAAGTTTGGTAATTTCACTACAAACCCAAGTACCGCGTCATAACTTTCGAATTGTGCAATCAATCATTGACTTGAAAGTAATTCTCGGTTTCCGTTTATCTTTTAACAATTAACTAAACAAACTGCAAACAACATTGTGTAACTCGGATTGCCACTAGAGATGTCATCAATCGTATTTATGTCGATATACATATATATATTTAGCTCTATGTTGTAAGGAGGGCTCAGCTACGATTTAAAAGGCCCTCCTCGATTAAAAACTATAGAAAACACATGCTCCCTCCTCCTACGTTTATCGTCAAAATGTGCGATTCGCTCACAACAAAATCTCGAGAGTTTTGCACCCACTCTGGGGTTTTCGTTTCTAAATCTCCTCCTTTTAAAAGCATTTTAAAATACAGTTGATGCCTTCTTCTGACAAAAATAGATGTATGTATATGTGTATATATTAATGTGGGAGGAGTAGGCCGGCCCTTTCGCAGATCTTCCCTTCACACGGCTCCTATCAAATATTTGTTTATAAAAGCACCTTATAAATTTTACATGTTCTCGCAAATTTTACTCACTGGCCTCGTTTTGTATAAATAGCTAAATAGTTCTTCATCTTTTACTTTTACTTTTACTTTTACTTTGTTCAAAAATTGTCTTTAACATTATACAACACTATCTGTATTTTTGTTTTTCTTGTATTACCTGAATTTTAGAATTTTGTATCCGAAACGCCATTTTGGTTGTGTATTTTTTGTTTTCTTACTGAGTTTGTTTCCCTATCTTTTTGTTTCTCGTTCTTGTAATTGCCAAAAGTTGTGGGGTTTTGTGTTTCCTGTTTCTTTTCCATTTTCAGTGTTTAATTTTCATTGTCCGAAATGTGGGTTTGCCAAAGGTGTTGCCTTTAAACTTAGTACATGCCAAAAAGTTATATGTTTCTGTCTGCACACTATTACCTAATTGACAAATATGTATGTTTTACTTAGCATTATTTGCTCGGGGTATTCTACTTGGGTTCTCTATTTAGTATTATTCAATTAGCTTTGTCATTGGCACAATTCAGCTTGTGAGGGATGCTTACGGGGTGTGTTGGAAACAAAGGGGGAGACAGTGGTAGTGCCTCCACTTGAATTAAGTTCACACGTTGGTTAAAATTTGCTTATAAACTTGGTTTTATTTTTCTGCTTTATTAGCGTTTTCCTTTTTTTTTTAACATTAACACACTACAGATTACGATCTTCTGCTGTTTATCATATCAAATTTCGTTTGTTCACTAATTAATACAAATAACTAGTAGGTAATTAAGAACTAAACATGGTACAGAAACTATGATTAAATTTAATATTAAACACAAAATGTAAAAACAAACTATAAACGGCTAGGTGAGTTGATTTAAATTTTACAAATTTATCTTTTGCCTTTACTTTGTTGTTCTTTTTAATTTCTACGATTGCAACGCGTCCAGCATGAATGGAACTGAATGGAAGCGGCATTCAACTTAATTCACATGTCCCGTTCGATGATGATAATGGTGATTATTGCGTATTTGAAATAATTGTAATAACTAGAATATGAATATTGTTTAGCTATTATTTGTTGATTTACTAGGTTATTTTCGTTACGAGTGTATTCTTGTGGGTTTACGTTTTATCCATCAATTTGTGGGTGTGCAACTGTTGCTCCTTCGGGATGGGATACAAAAAAGAGACATATTTAAAAAAAATATACTTAGGCTTACAAAATAATAAATCAGCGACAACACTCAATAATTAACAATTCACAGTGAACATAATTTTGCATATGGGTCACATACAAACATACATATTAAAACCATTTGTAACTAATTTTAATTCAACCGAAATAGTACAGAATATTAAATAGTAAATTGCAGCAACAGTGGAAGACGTTTCTATCATTTCTGCTTCTGTAATAAATTGTTTTCCAATTAATTTCTCATTCGAAGTTTATTTTTCGGTGTGTGTTTTGTGTGTACAATTTAAAAACAGGCTATTCTAAAATATATCAATAATAAAAATATATATAAATTATAATTCAATTAGACAACAGTGTAAAAAGCCAATTAAAGGAAATGTACATACAATTTTAAAATGTTTCGTTCTCCCTCACTCTTAATAGTGGAGAACAAAAGCAAACAGTTTAAAAGCATTAAGTTGTGTGTTGGGGAAGGGTGTGTGGGACATAGGTGTGTGTTTTTGTTTTTGTGGGAATTTGTTCACTTTTAAAATGTTATGACTAAATATACAATACAACTACACAGTGTTCATTTCAAGTTTCTTACTGTTTGTTTGTTTGTTTTTTTATACAATTCTTTGCTTGTGCTTAATACACTTCAAAATTAATGTGCAATTTAAGTTAAAGCTTAACCTCTATTTCTGTCGCTCTTTGTTAGCTCTTCTTCCATTTTGTTAGTTGTAGTTTTCGCCTGTAAATTAAAACCTAAGCCGTTACGCGGAGGATTATACAATGTTTCCATTATGTATGCAAGTTTTGTTTTCTTTTTGTGTTTTGCTTTCATTTCGTTTTTACTGTACTTCATATGTGTGCTTCAAAAGTTCCAATTCTCTTTAGAGTTTCTACCTGTCAGCTCTGCCTTTACCTTTGTTGTTGCTCCTGATTTATTAAGCTGCTTAATAAATTCATTCGTAATCAGTTTCTCATTATATACTCACAAATTACATGTATATATTGTATGCCTATTGTAATTTAAAATTTGTAATCTTCGTTCTCCCGTTCTTTGTTTACCTAGCTCTCGCTGCTCGCTACTTTAAATTAATTTTGCAATTAATAATAAACACTAGTTAATCATGCATCGGATGCATGACGAGCTGAAGCCAAGTGTGAGCTCTTGCTTGTTCTCATTTCATGTTGCTTGTGGTGCGTGTGTGTTGAGTTGCTGCAATTTGTTGGTTGGTTGTTCCTGTCGATTCGCTTACTATTCTTAAGTAATTTGGTCACTTGCAGCCAACCATCGTGTCTGTCTGCTCCTCAAGGATCCCCTACTTGTACTTGGCATCAGATTCGGTTGCTTTGCAAAAGGAATGCGGCTGCTCCGAGTGTTGCTGGTGTGCACCTGCCGTTTAGTAATATTGAAAAACATCTAAAAATGTTTTCATTGGGAAATCGAAACTAAATTAAAAATGCAAATTGAAGAAGGTAACCAAGAACGTGAAAGAAAACTAAGAAGCCCCTTCCAAGTAATTTAGCATCTTGCTTGTTTACCTGTTCCATTGGGCGGAGCATTGCCGGCCTGCACATTGTTAAGTCCAGTGCTACTGGCGCTCAGTGTGGTCGACGACGAGTTGGAGTCGGCCGGCGTGTTCGGCCCCGCCGAGTGTGGAGTGCCCAAAAGCCTCTGGCGCACCTCGCGTATCTTCAGCTGCAGATCTTGCTTGCGCGGAAAGACAGCAATGTGCTTGGCCTGTGAAAGAGGCAAGTAGATTTTGTAGGATTACAGTAAATGATTTTCTCTTCTTAATTTCAAGGATTGAACCTCTTATAATCACTTATCCCGATAGGCTCCAAAACTGACTTGACTTATTACATTATTCACAGTTCCAAAAGTAATAAATGTTCTTTCTACTTTTCGGGAGTTAAGAATAGAGGGTTAAAGAACATCGCAAACACTCACCTGAAAGGCTATGGTGGCCTGAGCACTGGGAAAGTTACCGTGCACGGCAAAAAGCTGCATCACCAGATGACGACGCGTCTCCAATACCTTGCGATGTCCCTTCTCGCTAGCATCCGACCGGGCGCTCTGTAGTGGCGTCTTTGGCGTTCTGGGCGAGCGGCCTGTCTGATCGGAACTGTCCAGTTCTGCAAGGCGTTCATCTTCATTAAGAATGTGTGAGAGTTAAGGCACGTGTTTCAAGTCAAACGAACACATCCTTTAGTATTTAATTAAACTTAAACCCCTTGTTGTTTTTTTTTTTCAAAAATTTTTATATCTTTTTAAAGGGAGACCAAGTTTAGCTCAAATATTCATGTTTGTGCGAGGCGGAAGTTAGGTTTTGTAAAGTAAGCTTACCTTTCAGCTCGTTGGTAAAGTCAGGGCCAAAAAAGCGTTGTGTGGTGGTTGGTGGTGCCGAGGCTGGTTCGTCAATGGAGTCGTCTTCACTCACTACAAATTGTATTCAAATCGAAAGCTTTAGCTTGGGCTAAATAAATGCACTTAAAGCCCAGAACTCACGTAGCTTCTGCACTGGCGGCGGTGCAGTGTTCTTCTTGCGATAATTCGTGCCGTACACGCGGGGCGAAGAGGGCACAGCGATGGCACTGGGCGACTGACAATCCTCCGGCTGGAATTGCGGCAGGGCCTTGTACTTCTTCTCGAAGTCCACTTGCTTGAGCACGCTGCTGTTGAAAAGGAGGGGATGCATTGCAATCAAATGGGAAACGAAAGAGTACGTATCTTTGGCCCTTCTGCTTACTTATTCATTTCATCGTTCTTCTTCTTGAGGGCGGCCGCTGCTGCCGTTGCTCCCTTCATCGGGGATTTGGGCTGATGGCTGTTATTGTTGCTGGTGCTGTTGCTAGTGGTTGGTGTGAGAGGCAGTTGCTCATCGCTATTAGGCGTCGTAGTCGATGAGGTGGGCGTGGGCAGTGCCGAGCTAAGGCTGCTACTGTTGACATGCCCAATGATCGGCGACGACGCATCCATCATCGTGGGCGAGTGCAGCTTGCGGCTGATGTGCTGGCCATTGCTTGCCCCCAGATTGGCGCCAAAGGACACATTGTTCTCCGACTTGCTTTGGGCTAATAGAATCGTTCACAAAAAAATGTCAACAATCAGAAATGGGAGAAGCCCACCCGGAAGGAAGATACTTACATAGATTTTTGCGCCGCTGCAAGGGGGCTCGTCCCAGCTGAGCCGGCGTAGGTGCCAAAATGAACTGCTGGCCATCGGCATCCATGTCGCTCTCATCACCTCCACTCGTTGCCGCTGCAGTTCCTATGCCTGCGCCTCCTTCCATGCCTGCTCTCTCCAGGGGCGGCGCACTCATTAGATACGTGGCCGATTTGGGTGTGGAGGGCATCGACTTGTATGAGGGTGAACTGGCCGGCGGCTCTGCGCTGTGACCGGGCGTGTAGCCGTGCAGCAGCATCGTGGGCTGTGCACTAACGGGCGGAGGCAGGGAGGCCAGGCCGTTGTGGTTCTTGAAAATAAAACTGCCCGGCGGAAAGGCGTCCAGCTGGAGTTGCTCCAGACTGGGCGTGCCCGGCGTATGGCGCTGCATCATCGAGTACTAAAGTATGAATAGAAATACCATTTAGCTTAAAAGATCATTATTTAACCACGGACTCCTTTACTTACCGGATTGCTCATGGCGAAGAACATCTTTTGGCCTGCCGATGGTCCCCCTGCCATGATCTGGGCCGGCGCTGACGCTGGGGGCGTAGCAATGTTGGCCGCATGCCCCAGTCCCATGCCTGCCGGTGACGATGGCACACACGCCTGATGTGCAGCTGCGGAGCAAGAGTTGGAATTGGAGGATAAGGAGGGAGTTGTGCTTGAGTTGATCATGACAATTGTTGCGTCGCCAGTGCAGCCACTGTTGGCCACAGGGGCAGCTGCTTTGGCGGCGGTTATGGTTAGTTCGTTGGCATTACTACTACTATGATTTGTGGTCGCCTTGGTTAGCACCGTGAGTGTGGCTCCCGCCTGGCTGGTGACTGCTGTTGCCGATGTAGACGTCGCTGTGGCAGCCGTCAGGATGCGAGCATTGGGTGGCAACGTGATCTTATTGCAGGCGTTGATGCTAATAAAGGACACGGGTCGCAGGGTAGCTGCTCCTGTTGTCACGGTTGTGGCTGCAGAGCCGGCGACTTGTTGCTGGTTGTAGGAGTTAACATCAGTGATGAGGAGCATCGTTGCCGGCTGGCTGGTTGCCACCTGCCTGTCATCTTTAATTGTCATCTTAAGCTCTTCATCCCGCTCGCCATCCCCCTCATCGTTTTCGTCATCCCCCTCTTCGTCCTGGCCATGCAAGGTGTCCAGTACCAAGGCATCGTACAGGATCGCCGCCCGTCCGGTGCCCTTGTTGTTGTTTCCCCCATCTTGTAGGGTCAGCAGTTTGCGTATGATTGGCGTGGCATTGTTGTTAATATTGCATGTTATTGAGGTGGTGGTTGTTGAGGATGTTGTTGGCGGTTGTTGTTGTTGTTGGAGTGTTGGAAAATTGGAAAACTTATTAGGGACATCGTTACTGGCTTGAGCTGATACTGAGGATGTGGTAGAGGATGCGACCGTGGCAATCACCGGTGCGCTCTGAACCTTCTTCTGCTTAAAAAACAATGGTGGCGGAGTGTTGTGTGGATGTTGTTGATGTTGGTGTGAGTGTGGATGCTGCTGCTGCGTTCGTATGATGGTGAAGTGATTGATGGTGGGTGTGGGTACGCGGGTGATGACTGTGGGCGGCGTCTCTACGCGTCGCTGGTGCAGATGCTTCAGCTGTTGGTGCGGGGAATGGGCCGGCTGCAGTGGGGTCAGAGACCGCACAATGGTGAACTGCTTCCGCTTGATAGGCGTCACAATGGTGGCCGCCAGTGTAGGCGGCGGTGTAGGCGTGGCTGTTGGTGTAACCACCACCTTGGACGTTGGGCCGTATGGGGCGAAGTCATCGAAACCGGCACTGGCATTGACACTGGCCAGTTCCTGCATGAACTGCTCATCGTCCTCGTCCTCGTCCTCATCCTCATCATCCTCCTCCTCGTCTTCTTCCTCGTCCCCATCCTCATCGCCCGCTCCTCCACCATCATCGGGGCACGCGATATCCCCTCCATTAGTATCCTCCCCTGGCTCCGTACTCTTTATGTTGGCTGCTTTACTCGTTTCTGGATCTGGTTTTCGTGTTTTTAAGAGTGAGGTTTATTATGGAAGGTGACGAAAATGACAGCGCAAGAAAGAAGATCAAGATTATGTGGCGTGGTGGGAGTTATTCGTGTGAGAAGAGAGAGTGAGAGAAACAGAGAGAAAGATGGTTATGCTATGCAGAAAGCTTTCGTGGGAAAAACTTTGCTGATGAAGTCGCAATTGAAAAAATGCAAACAGTGTGGACCTTGGGGATGATGGGCGATGGGCGAAAGGTGGTGCAAGTGCTACAAACGTTCCAATTTCCGATTCTCTCCAATTTTGCTGTTTGGCATAAACTCAACTTAAAACAAACATAATATGAGCTCGCGCTTGGCGCTACGTGAACGAAAACCAAACTTCGACCGCAACAAATCATAGTAAAAATAATGCCAACACTAAATAAACTTAAGGTAAGAAATAAAATACTAATAACGTGTAAAGTAAATGATTACCAAACTAAGTATTCTCATTTAAGGAATAAGGATAATAATAAATAAAATCCAGTTGTTGTAGAACATTAAGACTGTTGTCAATATAAATCTTTTTTTTGTTTTGTTATTCTACAATCGATTCGGGAGTGTAAAGTTTTGTTATTAATTCCTTGAATTTACTTTGAAAATACCTTAGGTTTTATTTCAGTTTTATTTACAATAGTCTAAATGTTCAACAACGTTTAACAATTTTCAACAACGTTCTCCTTCTCATTTTTCGCATTTTTAGGCTCGCATTTACTCACCTCTCAAGTCCGTGGGACTGCGATGTGGATGATGCATGTGGTAGTGGAACTGCTTCTGACTCAAAGCCGTCGCTGTTGGCACATTAAAGTTAAAGACACTGCCGCTACTTGGCTGATGAGCGCTGAGCACGCCTCCTCCTACGCCAGCTGAAGATGACGATCCACTGCCATTCAGCTTGTAGGGCGACGGTGGCTCCTGCTTGATGTCCTCCTGCTTGATATGTGACTGCAGGCACGCAGCGTCCTCTGGCTTGCTGCCACTGCCCTTGGGGCTAATTGGCATTGACTTAAAGGCGCCGCCTGCAAATCAAAAGATTGAAGAACAAACAGGCCGATTAGCATAAAATGTTAGGATGGTGATTAGCGGTGGTTTGCTCGCCTGTGGGTTGGAATGGTGTTACACCGATTGGATTCTTGGGACTAGTGTACTGCGTGTAGATTGACATCTGGGGGTATGGCAGAATGGTGCTCTCCAGCACCGGATGGGCCTTGATGGCCTTCGGTTTGAGTGTAATCTCGCGCTCTCCACCGCTTCCGCTGGACAGCGGTGCGCTCATGGCCTGGCCGTTGGCACCAGAAGTATTGGGCTCTTCAGCGGAACGCTAAAATATGATTTTGAAGGGTACAGATTAGTAATGTTTGATCATTTCTAAAAATTTATGCATTCCCACCTGATCCGCATCTGTCTGCTGCTTGCGGTAGTCGAAGGGTGCCTCGTCCATGTCCGAATCGTTCACTCGCTCGCGGCAGTGCAGGTCCAACTTCTTAGCGGGCTGATGCTGTGCTGGCTCCTCCTCAACAACCAGCATCTGCTCATCCTCGTCCGAGGGCAACTCGTTCTTCAGGAGTTTTCCGTTGCCCTTCAGAGAGATTGTGGTTGGCGCTTCATCACAAGTGCTGTTGTAGTTGTCGATCGTTAGCGGTATAATGTCGCCCTGGAGATCAGAGGAGATGCCCTGGCCACCGCAGCTACCGCTGCCACCCGGGGTCGAGGGGCACATGTCGTGCTCAAGGGAATCTGAACCATCCACCGAAACCAGACGCTGCTTGGCATCTCCCGCTCCAGCTGCCCCACTAGCCTTGCCCCCTGTCGCAGCCGTCGATGTTGAAGATTTGCGACGGTCCTTGGAGCACCACTTCCATTCTGGGTGCAGCTTAAAGTGTGCATCCTTCACGGAGCTGGCCAGCTCGTGGTACTGCGCCTTCTGCTCGGGCTTCAGGGCGTACCACCACTCACCCAGAATCTTACTAACTGTTCTGTTATCCTGATTAGGGTGCTTCTTGTGCACCATCTTGCGGTGCTTCTTCGAGAATATCATGAAGGCGTTCATTGGACGGCGGATCTTCTTGTTTGCCGGTTGTCCAGCCGCTGCGCCTGCCTGTTGTTGTTGCTGCTGCTGCTGTTGTTGCTGCTGTAGAGCACTCAATGATTGACTCCTTCGCTTGGCAGCCGAGGTGACTGGCGCACCAGCTGCTCCATCGCTCGGGTCATGGCACTCCTCCAGCTTACGAATGTTGCTATTGTAGGTTGGCAGTCGCATTGCTGCCGTTGGCTTCTTGTTGCTGCTGCTAGTGGGAGTTGCCTCAAACACATCGTCGTCCAACTGCTCATCCAACTGTTCTTCCTGTTGCTGCTGCTGCTGATGATGATTGGCTGCTGCTGCCGCGGCTGCTGCTGCCGCTACCTTGGCATCGTTCATGGAGCAGTTGAGCGGCTTGCCCGGAGAGCACATTGGAGCGGGCACAGTGGGATGGTTATTATTGTGGGTCATCGACATCTGCGGCGATGATTGCTGCTGTTGCTGGTGATGTTGCTGCTGCTGTTGGTGTTGCTGCTGCTGCATCATCACAACGCTGTAGCTGCTGGCCGCAGTGGTCGAGGCTTGGCCGGCCGACACTGGCGGCGGCTTGGTCATGGGCGGCATCTGCGGCAGGAGCTTGTACCAGGGATGGCTAGGCGCATTGTACCCTGAAAATCAGAGGTTGAAATATGATACAAAGTTAAGTCAGTTAAGAGCTAAAATTTAGATCGGAGCTTAGTTATTAATATAAACGTGGCTTACCGTTTTTTGGCAACACCTTCTCCTGACCCAAGGGTGCAACTGTCGCGGCTGCTGAGCTGGTGGGCGTGTTGGGCTGATGAAATGAAACCGTAGTGGGCGGCATGGCCTGCACTGTCAGCTGAGAAGCGTCCACGATCACGGGATGGAACGTCTGACCGCCGGACACCACCACATGGGGATGTTGGTGCTGTTGCTGCTGCTGCGGCTGATGCTGGTGCTGACTGCTGGAGATGCGTATGACGCTGGTTGCATGGCCCATGCTGCTGCTGCTGTTGATGTGCGGAGCTTGTGGCGCTGGCAGGCTGGCGTTGAGGTGAGCGGCAGGTGGTGGTGGCGGCGGTTGGTGAAGCTGGTGTGGCTGCTGCTGCACTTGGTGGTGCGGCGGCGGAGCGTGCATAACCAGGGACACAGGCGTCGTTTGCGGCGGCAAAGGCTGCTGCGTACCAGGTGCTCCACCTGTTCCACCTGTGTTGTTGCTGTTCGTCTCCCAGCCATTGTTGTTGTTATTACTGGCGCTGTTGTTGTTGGCGTTGTAGAGCACCGGACTGGGTGTCGCCTTCCACTTGGCCTCCAGGGAAACAGTGGCCACCGGCTGCTGCTGCTGGGATTGCTGCGACTGGTTGGCGATGGGCGTGAAAAAGTTCTGCCTGTGAGTGGCGGACACATTGACCGGCGAGTGGGCGATGGCGTTCAGTGGAGAGGCTCCGGCGTGGTTCACCGGCGACGCGTACGAAGGCGTGGCGGATCGGGAGCTGCTCAGTGACACTGCAAAGGGGGAGGAAAAAAGAAAGGGAAATCATTAAGTCCTGTCCTGCTGTGGTTAAAAGCTCCAGCTTTCGCTGTTATTCTCGGGCTCTCTCCCGATCGTTGGCATTACATAAGCACTGCAGGTAAAGTTTGGCACCCAGCTCAAAGTCCTGGAACGCATTCATGACGTCCGTCGCTCCTCTAGAGCATTTCCACGGAAATCTCTCGCTCGCTCGCTCCCTCACTCTGCTCTGCTGTGCCTTTTTCTGCCGTCGTTGTCACATTCGCTTTGCTTTGCTTGGTCTTTTCTTTAGATTATTCGGTTTTGGTGCTGTTCTTTGATTCTTTCGCTCGGTGCTCTTGACAGTTCCCACTTCTCAGCATAAATGCGGCAATCGCCGACGAGCCCGCGACGACGTTCAGTCAAGGGCAGCGACGTCAGCAGCATAAATCGAGCGAGCGCCGCCGCTCTCTCGCCCAGTCTCGGGCGCTCTCCTTGCTCTCTGGCCGCTCGCCATGTTTGTTTACCTGCCGTGTCGGTGAGCCAGCGAGCGCGTGCGAGTGTGCGTGCGGGGCCGCTCTCAAGTGCATTTTTGTTTAGGTAAAAACGAATCAAAGGCAGGGCAAGGCAAATAACAAGAAAAGAGCAGAATAAAAGAAAAGAATCTGTTGCGCTTTGCGCGCTGCCGCTGCCCTCGCCTCTGTCGGCGCCGCTGCCCTCGCTTTGTTTCGTTTCAAGTGGCTCTGCCGACGCCTCTGTCACAGCGATCATTGCGTCTCTTACCTTCTGCAGGTGCTTAGGAATGCGTACAGCACAGTGGCGTGCAAGGGGATTAATTGCACATCAATAAACTATTAAGGCACTTTATTGTTGACGAAATAAATATGCAGCTGCATTTGCAAATACATATGTACATATGTATACCTTCGCCTCCATGTGAAATATATTTCAAGCAACTAAAGAACTTTTTTTCCACTGAAGCTATGAACATCCTGTACACGTTATCAAAACCAATTTTCTATAAGGTATTAAGTACTAAGTACCATATGAACGGTGGCTAAGATATACTTTTTCTTAGCTTGCGTTCGAAAACAGTATCAAAGCAATAAAAAAATTTATTTTGGGAAATTAAATTCCAATTTTCTAAACAATCTATAAGCACTAATTTCTCTTCCTTACCTTACAATGAAATTATTACGAAGAAAAATTATTTTTCAAAACCTTCTTTACTTCTAAAAACCCTCTTAAAAAAAATGCAGGGCAGGCCGCTGCTTAAGCATCTCCTTCTGCCTCTGCTGTTGCTATCTCTGCCTCGGTCGACGTCGCTGCGTCTGGCGTGTAAATCACGCTGCGGTCACACTCTCAAGTGGCCGACGGTGAGTGGGAGAGGGGGAGAGATGCTGGCGGGAGAGGGAGAGAGGCAGACAATGGAACCCTTGATTCGTTTTCGGGATCGAAATCGGAATCGGACACGACCTCTACGCCGCTGCAGCGACACCTTTCAAGAAAAGCGGCTGACGGATGGACGGACGGACAAACGACCTTTGTTGAGGTGTGTGAAAAATGGACAGGCGACGGTGGACAGAGGGAGCTGGCAGCGGGCAGAGGGAAAACAGAAAGAACGACGCGGCGCAGCCACAATAAAACTTTATGATATGCATTTTATGGTGGATTGGAAATGCATCGAACCAGAAAACAAGGGCCAAAAGAAAGATTCGAGTCGCCACGACTAAGGCAAGTGCGGTCTGTAGTTTCGGAAGAATCCCCCTAGGCGAGATTTTTTGGTGATTACAAACTTTGATACCTCTAGTACCCTTAAACCATAAATTCTGTCAAGTTAAAAACACCTTAGTAATTGAATCAAGATCATGAAAATATCATCTATCAGAAAAGAGTTCCAGTTTCTATGTATAGATAAATTCCAAAAATATCTAGTTTGAACCTCTGTATAAAACTCTCTATTAATGCGAATTTAATGTCGAAAAGGAGGAGCTCGACAAGGCGGCATTTTATTTTAAGCCTGGCTTTTATTGGCCTTTTAACAACAGTTTTTCCAGTACGCAAGAAATCCGGTTCTGCTCTAAATGAAAGAAGTTCGTTTCTTCTGCATTCCAATGGAATACTTTTATGGGAAGAACTGAGCAAGGGAATGAAGAGCAAGACAAGACGAGGCGAGGCGAGGCGAGAGGTAGGGTGCCCAGAAGGTTCTTCTGCCCCGAACCGAAATCAAAGAAATATTTCCAGAAGCGCCGTGAAAGAAGCCTCGGAGACGCGATGGAAAAACGGAGCAGTATACTCTGCTTGCTCTTGTCCCTCTATTAGTGCGAACCAAGAGGGATTAACAGTTAAGCTGGCGCTGGAAACAGCAGAAAGGGACGGTCAGAGGGACAACAGCCTTGAAATTAATTGCCGCAAACTATGAATAAATTTCTGGACAGAGCCCAAAATGCATTTATGATGCTCTACGGGATCGTAAAGAGTCAAGAGGTGTGAGAGCTAGAAGGTGAAAGAAAGGTTACTTACCCAGCATGACGGCTGCATCGGTCTCCTCCTGATCGTAGCGACCCTTGACCCGGTAGTTGGGCGACGTCTCCGAGTCTCGCGACGTGTCCTCGTCGATCTGCGTCTTACTGCTCGATCGGCTGTCACTGAAAGATGCAATAAAAGAAGGCAGAATGACAGGTAAGTGAGAGCTTAAAAAATAAATTGTTTAATCGGTCTGCAAATTGGCCTTCTAACTACTGCCCCTAACCTTTCAAATCAAAGAAACAATCATTAACAATTTAAATTAAAAAATATAATATTTCAAACTTTTCAATGAATTTGATTATACTTGATATCCTACCTAAGTAAACGACCTGGACCCGTTGACGAGGGCAGGGCGCTGTTGTTGCCCTTCTGGTTAAGGTGTCGCGAGCAGAAGCCGCGCCGCTGAGATTCCTTGGTGCAGAGCATGCACAGGCGGCGCCACTGCTTCCCATTGTACTTCTTGCGCACGCCGGACTCCGACTCCACAATATCGCCCTTCTTGAAGCGATGCGGCGTGGTGGCTTGAGATCTGTGGATGGCACTGCTGGTTAATACCAAAGGGTCGATATAGTAACTATGTATATATTAACATATATGTATGAGTTCTTCTTGGATTCTCCTTCTTTATATGGCGAGAATCGCCAGGAAATCCTATTAGACTCACCTTGGGGTTGCTGGATGAGATCGTGGTGTGAGCCTCTGGTCGAGTAGACTGGACGTGCTGCCGCGGCTTTGCATGCTGCTCCGCTTGCTGCAAGTGCTCATCTTCTCCGTGTCCAGGTCGCCAGCCGCCGGCGAGTATCCGATGCCGACTCGCTTTAACTCATCATCCGAGTCGTAGTCGTCGTAGCCCCGCGACGACTGCTGCTGCTGTTGCTGCATCTTAAGATGCTGCCCATTGCTTCCCGGAGAGATCACGATGTCCGGCAGGCCATTGGTCTGCTGAGGATGGGGTAGCGACTGCGACTGCGATGCCTGCTCGGCTCCATGTGCCTGGCCGGCTATTGGGGGACGCGTCTGAAACGGCGATGTGGCCGTGGTCCGATAATACTCTTCTTGTTTCACAAGATTTTGCTGGTGCGGTTGCTGGTGGGTGGGCGTGGGTGGTGCCGTGGGTAGCTTGCCGTCGTAACGGGTGGCCACGAAGGTCAGCGGCGCCCCGGTAGCCGCCTTGGGGTATACAATGTTGCCACTGGGCACAGACATCGCCTCGCCAACTGCTGCCCCTCCTGCCGATACCTTTCGCTTGCCAACACCTGATGCCGGGGCAGTTGCTCCACCCGAGGGTGTCAGTTCGTTGAGCTCATCCCACCAGGGCGGCTGAAGGAGGCGCAGATCAGCACGACGCACAACCTTGGTGGTGGCCTGGTGGACACAGATGAAAGATGCAATTATATAGTTATTCAATCATCATATTACAATCTTAGTAAAGGGTAGCCCTTAAATCGGTGTGAATATGAAAATAGTTGTAATAATAGAGTTTCTAGTGCACTTTGAACTATTCGGTCGTTGTGTTCCTGATAAACTTTTTATATAAAGGCATTTTGCTTGCACATTGTATGCCTGAATACTTAAGGTTAGAATTTAAATTGCTTTATTTTTTTATAATTTTAGTACTACCTATATCAGACTTATCTTTTTACATTTTTACTATCCAGGAGCTTAAATATTCCCTTGAAATACAAAAATATACAAATAGTTAACCCTTACCAATTCGTCGCCGATCAGCTGCACGCTATATTGCTTAGTGGCCTGATTGATGTCCGTTATGACGCCCTCCACGTAGACGAAGCTACCGGAGCCACGCCCCTCCATCCGTTGCCGCACACAGACACGGGCGTCCATCGTAATCTAATTGGCGAAAAGGAAGGGAAAACTCCATTAGTACGGCGCTAGAAGGTATTTTTTCGTTCTACTTACATCCGCCATGGGCGGGCTGGCATCGAGTATCACATGGTTGCGGCCCTGGTGCAGCACATCCGGATATAGCAGCAGCCCCAAATCGGCGGAATCGAATTCCACGAGTATTGAGTCGGGACTGGCCTCCTGCACTTGCCGGATAATCCCGGGGGCATAGTGGTTATGGATTTTGGCTAGGACACGTGTGTTGTTCCACTCGCTGAGATCGAGCAGGGATTGCTGCTGCTGCTGCTGCTGCTGGTGTTGTTCCTGTACATGTTGCTGATTGTGTGAGTTAAAGCTAAAACGTGGTTGCTGTTGATGCTGCTGCTGTTGTTGTTGTTGTTGGTAGTAGACGGCAGTTGTGGGCGTGTGTGTGCGTTGCTGATGATTGATTGTGGCTGCGTGACTATTGTTGCTGCTGCTGCTAATGCCTGCAACATGTTGCTTGTAAGTACTACCGCTGGTATGCTGCAGCGGGGATGCAATGATAATACGTTGCTGTTGCTGCTGCTGCTTGCTATCGCTGCTGTTGCTATTGCTGTTGCCGGCGCCTGCACCGCAACTCACGATCATGCGATGCAGCTGATGTTGCTGCACAGCAGCAACATTGCCGTTGGCCAGGCCATCGCTATTGCCATTGGTGTCGGCGGGTTTCTGCTGCTTCTGCACGCTCAGTTGCTGCTGCTGTTGGGGATGCTGCTCTGGTTTGTCCAGCTCGGCTGGATCAAATTTTCGCTTCTTGGGATGCTGACGCGGCTGAGGTGGTTGCTGTTGTTGCTGTTGCTGAGGTGTGCTGGTTGCTGCTGTTGCTGTTGTTTGTAGGTGCGGCTGGAACAAGACATGCTGCTGCTGATGCTGCTGTTGTTGTTGCTGCTGCTGTGTAGCAGTTGTTTCGGCGGCTGATGTTGTGGTTGCTGTTGGTATACCGGCGATTGTTGCTCCCGTTGCTGGTATCACCATTTTGTTGGCGGCAACAACTAAGACTTGTTGCTGCTGTTGCTGTTGTTGCTGTTGTTGCGGGTGTTGCTGGTGTTTGTTTGTTATGACATAAGTCTCGGCTGCGGCAATCGTGGCTGCTGCTGCTGCATGGGTCGGTGTTGCAGTCGCATTCGCAGCACTGAGCATCTTTGTTGTGGCAGCAACATGTGTATGGCGTGTCCTGGGTAGGATTGGGGCTAGGGTTGATACTGGATCTGGGTTTTCTTCAGAGGGTGTTGCTACTGCAACGGCGGTGACATCAGCAGCATCCTTCCTGCAAACGAGAGTGGCGAAAACATTCGTTAATTAAGTTGACAAAAGAAAACCATTAAAATCAACGACGCCGTTGTCGATGTCATTTCATAATTAGTGTAATCCGCATCCTGACAACCCTGACATCCTGCCCAGATCCGCAGGCGCCGGCGGCAGCCGTTAGCCGGCAATAAAATTCAATCTCGCCCAACTATAACGCCGTCTGCGTTGTGGCAACTGCAAGGAGAGGAGGAGGGAGAGTGGAGCATGAAGCCGAAGAGTGTGTTGGCCAGATGACGACAACGGAAACATTTTAATTTGCACAGACGTCCAGTGGTCTGGGATGGCTTTAAACCGAAATGGGGTAAAAAAGAGTACAAGTGACACTCGAAATACATTTTATGGCAGGGCCAAGCACAGACAGGCGAACGTACAGTTTAACAAAAAGTCAAACTCATCTGGCAATCACACAGAAGTATGAAGGATGAACTTGTTGGGCCAAGGAAACGAAGACTGAAGTAATAGCACGTTGGGGCTAAGCTCTACACGGCGTAACCATTCACATGGCAACAGGGATTTGTGAAGAAACGTATTAAGCTCATTACGGCTGAAAGCAACTGAGCAAAAAGGATTTTTTTTTTTTTACTTTATTAGCTAATTAGTAACTTATGGGCAAACCATTCTGTACTGTTTCCTATATAAAGTGGATTTATCTTAATGCAATTTTAAGAATTGATTAAATGTACAAAAATGTTTGCAAATATTTTATTTTGAAAATCTTCAAGAAGTGTTAAGTAAACTGTAAACTGCATCTAATAGACCTTAACAAATTCTCAAACATTTTTTCCGAACCCAATAAAAGCCATTTCTACTTGTTTCTTCCTTTTTCATTTCTTCAGACTTCGACGCCCACGCAAGGTGTTGCATACTTCTGGGCATGTTACGTATACGTAGAGGGTGGGAGTGGTAGTTGTCAGCCAGAGTTGCCACATCGCTTGTTGCAGCTTATCACACAGGAACATCTTCCCATCATTTGCTTCTGCAACTGCATCTGTGTACAGCTCTATATCCCTATTCCGTTATCCCTGTGTGTAGGAGTAATTGCGGGAAATGAATGCCACGCCCTTTGTGGGCGAGCAACACCCACACAGCACTGACACAGACACACACACACACACGAATGAACGAATAAAAAAGCTACAGCCTTGGCCATACTGCTACTGCTGCCGCTGTGCGGGACAAGTGCAATGATTGCTTTATCTTCCACCCTTTCCCGCTAACATTTTTGTATTTTCTTTTAGCTCGTTTTTTTGCAACTTTGCTTTTCATTACTCTGGCCGCCGGGTCTTTGCAGTGGGGTATTCAGTTTCGGTTGCTAGGCTGCCGCATGCTAGCAGCAACTCACAATTGTTAGGAAAAGTCCAAAAGGTGTGGGAGAGGCGAGAGGAAGACGCTGAAAGGTGGCAGACACGGCGTCTGGTACAGTTAGTTAGTTGTTCGGGGCCAGCGTGGAAAATGCTTCCATACACAAAAGAAAAATATTTCAATTCGATGAAAATCTAGACAGAAAAATTGAAAATAAACAGGTTTGGCCACAAAAATTTAACCAGAAACATGAAGAATTAAAATAAAATAAATTTGGGGAAATACATTTTTTTTAATTTCAAAGTTTAGTTAGTTTGGCCGTAAAAGTTTCAAAAAATTTTTATTTTGCTGAAAAATATGCTTAAAAAACCAATTACATTTTAGAAAATATGACTAGTTATTTATGTATTGAATTGTTTTATGATGATTATTACCAGATGATTACGGTACAGCGGTCAACCAATAAATAAGGATTGGACAAATAATAAATAGTCATACACGAATGTGTGGTTTGGGAAAAACTGTCGATTCGCTGGTAAGAAAATACAAAATATATAAAAGCAATAATTAAACATTTTCAGTGTAATTGACGGTTTTTCCTGGAATGAAGAAAGTGCGTCAAAAGAATGGCAGTAAGCTGAAGATGAAGTGGAATCTCAGGATCTGGCTTTGCGATTAGTTGGACACATGGTCGTGTAGCAACTACCACACCATTTACACCCTCGCTGCACATGCACACACACACACACTCACATACAGCACAGTGGCAGCAGTGGCAAGCTTATGCACATATTTATAAAGCTTTTATGTAAATAACTGCATATCTTCTATATTTGTTCATGCGTTACAGCATGAGCAGTGTGTTCTGGAGGGAAAGACCAGAAGAGGGGCCAGGAGCAGGGAGCAAGTTGCCACCGATGCGTGCCTAAGTAAATCTAGCCATATCCAGCGGTCGCAGCTTTATCTCGGATTGCTGGGAAACCGACTTGTGTTTGCTATTCACAGCTTCTGACAGTTGCCGGTCTGTAAAAGCCATAAAATTGGATGGAACTGTCGTAAAAATCCCATCTTATGAGTGATTCTTAAAAAGAACTTAACTTAAAAACCCCAATAATTTTAATAATTGTAAATTTAATCAAGCTTGATGATAGTAAGTTCTCTGGTTGCTTACAGATGGAAAGCCTGGAATACAGTACTAAACATTTGAATCATAATAAACTTTGGTTGAATAAACCTTCCTAATACTTCATTGATGATTAACTTTTCTGTGCACATTTATCTATTAAATGGGCAAGCAATGGGATTTACTTTCTCTTTAAGGTGGCCCCCAAGAAAAGGAGAAAAAATAAGCCTTTCAGCACTGCAATGAGAGCATTAATACAGTTCTGTTTATTCTAGACTCCATTGCCAAAATTTCCACAATTTTAGGCTGGCACATGTGTGCGCCTGTTGGTGTGCGTGTGTCTGTTTCAATTGCCATCATTTCCATCTGCATTGTCTTTATTATTGCTATTGTTGCTGCTTTTTATGATGTGGTTCAGCAACTGCATTTGGCATGCATGTCAATTTCTTGTGCTCTCATTGCACTTCGTTGTTATTGTTGTTGCTTGGCATTGCTATTGTTGTTAGTTATCGCAGACTGCTGTTGTTAATTGGCATATTCAGTTTTATGGTACACCGAAAAATAAATTATCTAAGGACAGATAAGCCTCCTAACGGGGTAATTAAATATGTCTCTGTTTTAGTTTATAACCCTTGCTATCTCAGATCTCTGTGGTATTTAAGGTACTCGTCAAACAACAAATAATACTCCATAAAGGAAAACACAGAGAAATATTACAATAATGTATTTAGATAAAATTTTTTTTACATGGTTAATAATGAAATAAAGAATTAACTCTCACTTATTGGGATTTTTAAATTAACATTGCTTATTTTTTGCTTTACCGTATGAGCTCCTTTTTTTCTTGTGTACACTTACGCACACTAACGCGATCGATCTCAATGCAGTCGTGCTAAATTGAATGCAAAAACTGCAAGCGAGCGGGACAGCCGGTGAGCTGTAGTATAGTGCATTTGTTATGGATATGCATATGTGTATGAAGAGTGCATCGTAATTAGAAGAGAGTTCCTTGAACCCTAACGGTCATTTGTTTTGGCGCCAAATCGAAAACGAAACGAAAAGTGTAGAACAAACGGGAGAGGAAGAGAGAAAAACGAAAAAGCCATGCAGAAAGTTAATGTCGCACTCTTTTCTTTACTCACTCCATATGATTTTGGAGCTCCCTCTCTCCCGCTCCATCTCTCGCTCACTCATTGCACTTAGCAACGGTACACACGCAGCGGCTGCTCTGCCGATGTCGCTACCCGGCTGCTGCAATGTCAGTAACCCCACTCGAGTAAAAGAGCGAGAGAGCGAGTGCGGGGGCGGGGGCGGGGGAGTGCAGTTAGCGTTGTGAATTTGTTTGCTGTGATTTTCTGTGCATTTTTATGCTGTTGCCAACTCGTCAACGGTCCTTTGCCCATTCTCCAAATCAACAAAAAAAAAAAAGAAGAAGGAGAAAATAGGAACAGCAAGCGCTCTTAGTCATTCAAAGCTGGCAACAACAAAATAATGCAGCAGCACCAGCATCAAGTGAGAGTGAGTTGTGCGCAGGGATATTCTCCTCTTCTCCCGCAGCCACCCACCGCCCACTCTCTCCGCCTCTAGCCAGGAAAATCTGAGAACGAGAAACGCCGAATGCCGCTCATTTGCGTAGAGTAAATGCAAACAACTCGTGCACTCGTCGCCCCGCCTGCCTTTCCCTTCCCCCCACATGAACCACACACTCTTTAGCACTCACTCAGGCACACACACGAGATGGCGTACCCACACACGGGCACGCATCAATGCATTGTGCTGCAGCAAGAACAACAAGAGCAAAAACGGCGGAGGATGATTTTGCATTGCAGCGTGTAACAGTGCTGAACACCAAAGTTCACGAAAATAGATCAGTCCCGTTCCAAAATATATAGCAGTGAGGGTATTCAGAAGATTATATGCAATTATTCATTAAGATAGTTTTAAAACTGAGGGACTAGTTTGCTTAGAAACGGACAGACGGACATGGCTAGATCGACGCGGCTGATACTTCATATGATCGAAAATGTCTTCTTTACTTCTGATTAAGATTATAATACCCTGGAAGGATAGAAAAATAATAAGCATAGCGAACCCTGAGAGGCATGGACGGTACAACCCGACAGGGGAAGCAAAAAATAATTAAGTTTATGTGTAAAGATTTAAAATTTAAATTTGAATGTACCAAGAATCGTATAAAATATTAAATAAAAAGTGAATCTAATTATACAATATCTTAAAATCGTTTATTATTAACACTACAATTTTATATGGGTATAAATTAAATTAATTATTAAATTTGTAATTAATCAACAGAGTCCTATACTTGTGGACTCGCCTATGACCTCTACTCATTGTCAGTCCAAGACTCTGTGTGTGTGTGAGTATTTGCAGGGTTTACTCATTTTTAGCTTTTCGCCTTAGCATGGCGTAAATTATTTGTATGCGCGGTGCTTGAGCTTATGCGGTTGTTGCTGTTGCAATGCACTATGAAAAAAACAAAAAAAAAATAAGAATGCAGTGGAGAAGAATGAAAA